TAGGCAAATGAGTATTTTGACCACATCATCCTCTTTATGCATGTTGTCTTACTCCAAGCTGTATAGGCTCGAAAGCCTACTACCAATTAAGCATATTAGGTGATGTGCATCTCTGTAATGAGAAGGGGTGTGGTCTAATGACATCAACACCCTATATCAGGTGTGCATAATTATTAGGCAACTTCCTTTCCTTTGGCAAAATGGGTCAAAAGAAGGACTTGACAGGCTCAGAAAAGTCAAAAATAGTGAGATATCTTGCAGAGGGATGCAGCACTCTTAAAATTGCAAAGCTTCTGAAGCGTGATCATCGAACAATCAAGCGTTTCATTCAAAATAGTCAACAGGGTCGCAAGAAGCGTGTGGAAAAACCAAGGCACAAAATAACTGCCCATGAACTGAGAAAAGTCAAGCGTGCAGCTGCCACGATGCCACTTGCCACCAGTTTGGCCATATTTCAGAGCTGCAACATCACTGGAGTGCCCAAAAGCACAAGGTGTGCAATACTCAGAGACATGGCCAAGGTAAGAAAGGCTGAAAGACGACCACCACTGAACAAGACACACAAGCTGAAACGTCAAGACTGGGCCAAGAAATATCTCAAGACTGATTTTTCTAAGGTTTTATGGACTGATGAAATGAGAGTGAGTCTTGATGGGCCAGATGGATGGGCCCGTGGCTGGATTGGTAAAGGGCAGAGAGCTCCAGTCCGACTCAGACGCCAGCAAGGTGGAGGTGGAGTACTGGTTTGGGCTGGTATCATCAAAGATGAGCTTGTGGGGCCTTTTCGGGTTGAGGATGGAGTCAAGCTCAACTCCCATTCCTACTGCCAGTTCCTGGAAGACACCTTCTTCAAGCAGTGGTACAGGAAGAAGTCTGCATCCTTCAAGAAAAACATGATTTTCATGCAGGACAATGCTCCATCACACGCGTCCAAGTACTCCACAGCGTGGCTGGCAAGAAAGGGTATAAAAGAAGAAAATCTAATGACATGGCCTCCTTGTTCACCTGATCTGAACCCCATTGAGAACCTGTGGTCCATCATCAAATGTGAGATTTACAAGGAGGGAAAACAGTACACCTCTCTGAACAGTGTCTGGGAGGCTGTGGTTGCTGCTGCACGCAATGTTGATGGTGAACAGATCAAAACACTGACAGAATCCATGGATGGCAGGCTTTTGAGTGTCCTTGCAAAGAAAGGTGGCTATATTGGTCACTGATTTGTTTTTGTTTTGTTTTTGAATGTCAGAAATGTATATTTGTGAATGTTGAGATGTTATATTGGTTTCACTGGTAATAATAAATAATTGAAATTGGTATATATTTGTTTTTTGTTAAGTTGCCTAATAATTATGCACAGTAATAGTCACCTGCACACACAGATATCCCCCTAACATAGCTATAACTAAAAACAAACTAAAAACTACTTCAAAAAATATTCAGCTTTGATATTAATGAGTTTTTTGGGTTCATTGAGAACATGGTTGTTGTTCAATAATAAAATTAATCCTCAAAAATACAACTTGCCTAATAATTCTGCACTCCCTGTACAGACACCCAGATCACATCAGATCAATTAAGTGGTCTGGGTGCCAGGTCCCTCTAGTTTTAACCCTGCAGCTGAAAACATAGCAGTTTCAGAGAAACTGCTATGTTTCACTGAGGGTTAATCCAGCCTCTAGTGGCTGTCTCATTGACAGCCGCTAGAGGAGCTTCCGCGATTCTCACTGTAAAAATCACAGTGAGAAGACGCTGGACGTCCATAGGAAAGCATTGAGTAATTCTTTCCTATGGGTGGTTTGAATGCGCCTGCGGCTCTTGCCGTGCATGCGCATTCGGAGCTGCGAGGCGGATTGGGGTGGAGGGATCCCCAGCGCCAAGGGAGTCCGGTACTGGAGAAAGGTAAGTGTTGAAGGGGTTTTAAACACACACTCTCACGAACAGACTCATACACACTAGCTAACAGACACACACATGTACTGACAGAGACACACTCAGTGTCAGACATACATACACACTCACTGACAGACAGACACACATACACACTTACAAAACATACACTCTCATTGACAAACACACACTCACTAACAGACACACACAAACTAACACACTCAGTAACAGACACACACAGTAACACACTCACTGACACACACACACTCACTGACACACACAAACACCCACACAAACACTAACAGACATACACACACTCTAAAATAAACACACACACACACTCTAACACTAACACACACACACTCTCTAAAACTAACACACACACACTCTAACACTAACACACACTAATACTAACATACACACACTCTAACACTAACACACACACTCTAACACTAGCACACACACTCTAAACTAACACACACTCTAACACTAACACACACACTCTAACACTAACACACACACACATTCTTCTGGAGGCAAACTTAGTGTTGCAATGTAAACATTGAAGATTCTCTGGAACTGCAATGTTTTACATTGCAACACTAAATGCAATAGGAACAGTGCACCCAGAACACTTCAATGAGCTAAAGTGGTCTGGATGTAAATAGTGCCCTTTAAAGAATAAACCTAAATGTGTATACCACAAATTCCTAAATACTGCTAATATACCAGACATAAAATGGAATTAACCTCGCTATTGTCTAAATCAGGGGTAGGCAACCTTCAGCACTCCAGATGCTGTGGACTACATCTCCCACAATGCTTGTACAGCCATAATGCTAGCAAAGCATCATGGGAGATGTAGTCCAAAATGTCTAAGGTACCAAAGGTTGCTTACCACTGGTCTAAATACTGCAGGACAGCAGAGCTGGATTAGAGCCTTCATGGAACTAAACATTACCCTGGGTATAAATATTACTGATGATCTCCTGTAGGAGTGGATCTGCAGTCAAAAAATGGTCTTGCCACCACAAAAAAGGCAACACATATATATATAAATATAATACCAGTGTGGGGGTTTAAATCTAAACCAAAACAAGGAGCACTCCCCTGTACATACATTTATTTAGTGCATAACCTAAATAAACTAAAATACCCTCTTCTAACATTGCTCGGTTTATATGCTTCTGCAGTAAACTAAATCAATCGAGGAATTTCTTCTGTTCAGCGGTGAGTGAAAAGAATGTGTAAATCACACACTAACAGAGGTTTTTGGGAATGCATAGTCCAGAACAGTGGCTCCCAAATTAGTCCTCATGTCCCACCACACTGGCTCCTCATGTCATACCAACAGTCCAGGATTTATCTATTTCCCTATTTTATTCCAATGGAGATACTGACAAAACCTGGACTGTTGGTGGGTCTTGAGGACTGGTTTGGAAAACACTGGTCCAGAACATAACAGCAATCATCTTACACATTAACAGTTTCATTCATATTTGGACAGCAATAATAGGCAGAGTGCCAGTCTAATCACTAATCATTGCCAGCCAAATCAGTGCCAGCCAAGCATGAAATCAATATTCCTAAAGTTTAAATTCTGCAATTATCAAAGGGTGAGTAGCTGGCTGGACTGTGGATGCCTTGGGGAGCCATGATTTTTGTCAAATGGCCCGAAAGGAATGACTTGTAAATGGAGGATAGCTCTTGCAGCTTAGCAGCACCATAACCATAACAACATACAGAGGATATGGTACTTAGACTACCCCTTTAACTGTATAGCTCACTAATATTTTGGCATGTGATCATGCAATAAATAGTTACCAACCCCACTCTCTGTGGAATTTAAAGGTGATTAAGCTTACCTTTTCTCCCATGCCAGTTGCCACGCCAGTCTTGATGATCTCAGCCAATCAAATGCTTTTCCACAGGAAAGTATTGTAAGGCTATTGAGCATGTGTGGCAAAACGCTGCACTGCACCAAGCAGCATCTCCTCATAGAGATGCCTTGAATCAGTGCATCTTTATAGGTAGCATTCCGCACTTCCCCAGGAAGCACCTCTAGTGGCTGCCTGAGTGACATCACCTAGAGGTGTTCCTAGGCCTTTTGTCTACAAAGGCAGCATTTACATTAAAAAGCCTGCAGGGACAGACTATAGAAATCAGAACTACATTAAGCTGTAGTGGTTATGGTGACTATTGTGTCCCTTTAAATTTACTGTAGAACCTTTATTTTTATTTTTTTTAAATCAGAAAATGCTACAAATAAAGTATGGCATATACGTACATTAGATATTTCTATTCATTTTAATGGATTATACTGCTTCAAATGTTTTCCTGTGTCTTTTTGTTATAAGTAGAGGGCTGCAATGGTATTTCTGTATAACACCTTGTAATGCCTAAAATAGTGGCTAGTTCAATTCAACCCGAATCCTGCATATAATCACATATAATGACTTCCCATAATTCCATAATAGTCTAGGTTGAAAAAGGACTAAGTAGGGGTTTCTACACTTAATTTACGTTTTCAGATTTCACAATCACTTATTTGTGTATCCAATGTCCATGATCACGTCTGCTTTTAGCAGTGATCATGGTGGTTGGAATTTGTATGTGCAGAATTTCTGCTTGAAACACTGCGCATACAGAGCAATCAGAACTTTATGGCCAGGAACTAGTTGAACACTTGATTTAGGCAGCAAGGAACTCGGCCTAAAGTTAATTCTGTGCAAAAATGACTTCTGTCATCAGCTGTAATCAGCTTCTACCCTTGTGGGCAGCACAGGGAACATGTCTGCAAAGAGAAGTTTGAATGTCCCCTCCCTACCCGCCTCTCTGCATTTTCAGCATTTGGTCATTTTTTTTATTTTTTTTATGTAAAGACTTCCCTTGTGTGCCCCCACTCCCTCCATACCCCCTGTCTCCTGCTCAGAGCATGCTCGTGCACTCTTAGTCCGGGTAATTAGTTCAATGTTCTCTAGCAGGAGAACTTGTCTGGCCCTCGTAGTGACATGGGGCACAGCCAAGACACATAGCATGTCTATGAGCAACTTCACTTGTTATCACAAAATACACACTATAAATAAAATGAAACAAAGAACATACTTTAATAGCTGGTAAATACATAGTCATAGCTCTGATTAAAACAGATACCAAAATCAAAACAAATAAAAAGGTATTACAGCACACACATAATGACTCCTCCACTGCATCATCATTGCTGTGGCACCATTAGATAATTCATTAACCTGGCACATTGTTGAGGTGATACATTATTTGTTATAATTCATTATAATTGGTTAGATGCTCAAAATGTTTATCTCATATTCCATTTCCTGTTTCGCTTTGCCCCAGGAGAGAGCAATATCTAGTATTACGAGATATTACGAAGGATGAGAAGAAGCTGTTGATGATCAACAGTATCGAAAGCAGCGGAAAGGTTAAGGAGAATTAGATTAGTTCTTCTTTACTTTCTTCCTGTGTCCCTTTCATGACTCAAACCCCTCTCTATACCATATACATGTCCCATTGGTTTCCTTTCTATTACACTATTATTTGGACTTTCTGTGAATGGTATTGTCTTTGTTGAGTCTTCTCTTGTATCCTCTGTATATTATCTCAGGTGGCTAGCAGCATAAACATATTATGATAATCTTCTTGCTACAGAGCGTCAGTCCCAATAACTATTTATCTACCACATCTTCCAAATGTCACAGTGACATCCACTTATAAAGGATGTCACCACGTATCCCTCTGCTCCTCCATTGTAAGTGCCACCACAGCACACAGGCACAAAACCTGCTCCGTGTATGGCTAATAGACTAATGCATTCAGTTTGAAACAAATCCTGATGTGTCAGAATTTTGGGTTATTGACGATTTAGCGTACGTAATTCTGTACCTCTGGATCATCATATGAAAAATCATGGAGGAAGAAAAATGGACAGTGAATGAGCCATTTAATGTATTTCATGAAATAGAGTTCCATCCATGGTACCAAAAAAAAATGATTGATGGAAAAGGTAATTTAGGTAGGCAGAGAGGGTTCTCGGGAGGGAGGGGACAATTTTTTAATGGCAATTAAATTGCACGAAGGGAGGCCTCACAGGAGGGCACAAACTGCGTGCTAACGACAGATGCAATTTGTGCACAGAATTTACATTAGACATCCCTGACAGAGTTCTGGGCTGCCTAAGTTACGTGTGCCAACGATGTAATTAGTCTCTGGCACAAAAGTGATGATTGCTCTGTATGTGCTGCTCTTCAAGCTGAAACATTGCACATGTAGATTGCTACCCACCATAACAACTTCTAGAAGCAGAAGTGGTCATTGTAATTAGAGTATTCCTTTGTGAGAGGTGACCATTAAAGGGAAAACAAGGAGGAGCATTATAAATCTAATTTAAGTAGTCTGTTCTTATTGAAGTAGTCTGGGTGTAGTGCCCATGTCCTCTTACCACTGTAATATAAGGCATTTTGCAATGTTTCCAATGCAGGGTTAAGACAGCCTCTAGTGACTCTATTCGAGACAGCCACTTGAGGTGCTTCCTTGATTCACACAGGGTTTAACTATGTGAAATGACATTGGACATCCTCACACTTTGAATGACGAGGTCCAGTGTCTTGAAATTCCAATAAGAAAGCATTAATTCCATGCTTTCCGTGGGGAAGTTCTAATGTGCACGTGAGGCTTGTCGTGCATGTGCATTTGATTCCACCATTTCCATGATGTCGCTGGAGGAGGAGACAGATCCAATGCTGAGGGACCTTGGCACTGGAATCAGGTAAGTGGAAGTTCATGATCTGGGTGTGGCAACAGGGGGAAGCAGAGGGACATTATAGTGTTAGGAATACAAAACGTTATTCCTAACACTATAGTGTTCTTTTAATATATATATCTATAATATATAATTATAGAGTTTTCTTACCACTCCTCCGTTTTTTTTCTCTATTTGTTTTATCTACTCCTTTAATCTGTTAACCAAATGGTGTCAATATCAGGGTAAAATGTTTTCAGTGCACAGATTGGCCAATTTTCACACTATTTTGGTTCATCCAGATTATTCTTCCCCAAAACAATCACATGGACAAACTTTGACCAAAACGTCACATTGACAAACTCAAGTCGCCCAAAAGCAATATTTTTATTTTTGTCAGATGAACCAAATGTTCCCATCATGTACAAGTCTAACAGCTGATAACACTTAAAAACTGCCTGTACCTTCACTGACAAAATAGTAATCAACCTTGTGAAATGTCATACAGCTGACCTTCCTAGGTCTTTCATATTTACATTGTCATAGCTAGATACTATGGTCAATGTCTAATAGCCTAATCTTTTATCAAGTGCATTGAACAGATTTGGTGATAGATAATATTCCAGAGTTTCTGTTTTTTACCCCTTTGGATACAACAGGGTATTTGAGAGCTCAGTTGAAATGTTCTAGTCTTTAATAATTTATATATTTCAGGATAACACTTAACATTTTTCATCCATTGCAACAAGGACCAGAACAGATTATACACGCCACACTAAACTTAAACAGTTTTATTTGTCATTAAAAAAAAATAATTTTCAAGAAGGGAATTAAAGTACGTGACTCAAGCTAAACAAAAACATAAAAATAACCAATGAAATAAAGAATTGGTTCGATGAGGGTCGATGGAGGAGAGACGTTCGGCAAGGTCAAAAGACAAATCAGAATAACTGTAATAAATGGAAACATGGAAGACACAAGTTCTTTGATAGAAGTAAAATCAAAGTGGAAAGCGAATGAAAGAAATGCCATAAAATCTAGAAAATTCAATTTAAATATGAAACATTTACAAATACAATGGTGCATGGTAGGACAAACAAAGCATAACGCACACAAACATGGCATGAATGCATACAACAGCATGGCAAATTGTAAAAGTTAACAGGCAAGTTGAAGGCAGTGGAGGAGTTTAGCTTAATTAGCTTGTGGCATAAATGGTTCCCTGCTTTAGTCTGAGCCAGACATATTCTTCGAAGATTTTCAGCTGCACTCAAGAAAGAATTAATTAGCACCGTCGCCGGCCTGGAATTGTAAAAAAAAAAAAAGAAAAAAGTTAATTATTATATTTTTAAAGTTGTAAGTCTTACATGAGGACAAAATTGGCAATACAATCTGAGCTTTCTAAGTAATGAAATCCGGTTGAGAGTTTATTAAACATTTTAATAAGATTACTAAGTTTTGAAACTCACCAAGCAAATTGGCAGCCAGAAATTAGCTACGTTGGAAGAGACAATCGCATTAAGTCAAAAGGACATCGACAGGAAACCAAATACAGAAAGGATTTACCATAAAGACAACTCTCTAGGGCCCAATGGGATCTCAGTCCTTCTCTGACACAATCTGTGTGTTTACTATCACCTTACGAAAATAAGACAATATTTGGTTTCTGGCGCAAATACAGGGCGGGACAAAATTCAGAGTAGGGTCTGAGGAGTCAACAACACATACAATGGATGCTTAAAATATGGAGATTTGTTTGACCAGGTACAAAACATGACATCTTTTAAATAAGCTCCATTTGCTTCCTCATAACATCGGGTACTTTCGATTGCGTTATTCATAACATTAGTTGATATTTGTGGCTCCAGTACTTGAATTTGTGCTGCTCGAATGTAGGTGGTTGGTTTACGCAAAACGTTGCATTCGTTTCTGAATCATAGTCACTGCATACATTGAAGTTGTGGCGGTAAGCTCTTGGCACCAAAATAAAGGATATGCCTGCCATTTTGAAAATATAATTCCATTATTCTTACTCGCTGTTCCTTTGTGAAATTACCTGTGATAAATCTCCCAAGACTCATTAACTACTAACAAATTTGTTATTTATCTGTCAAATCCTACTCTGTATTTTTGCCCACCCTGTATTTACTAACACATTGTTTTAGGAGTTTATTGAAGCCCAACAGTTCCAAATTAATTTAATAAAATATCTGTGACAGTCATAGCAGTGAATTTTCCCACATAATTATATTTTAAACACTTGGACTCTATAACTGGTTGATACATTTTATAACAGTGCATTTTAATGGGTCTCTGGGGTCTACGTGCCCAATTATTTTGTATTTCTTTTTTTTTTTGTTTATTAAAAAGAGAAAATAATGAGATTGGCACATAGATTTAAAAAAGGATAAAATATGATTACTAATATAAAAAGGTTTATAAATCCTGCACAAGCAATTAGAGAAGGTTGTGAGATCACCAACATCACCAGCATTATATTGTGTAATTACTTGAGAGTTTGTCCACGGCTAAAAAAGTGGAGATAGTTATTGGGTGATTTAATTGTTTCCTTTGAAGTTGCCACTTTGTACTTTTAATCTGTCTTCTGTACATGAATATACTCGAGCATTTATTGATGCTAGTGCCCCATCCATATTAGTACAAAGGTTATTAAAAAAAACTGTTATACTTGTGATTGTATTTTATGTTCCTTTTTAGTATTACAGCTATCTTGCTGGGTTTTTGCACACACCATAACCACTACAGATTCTTCTGCTTGGACAGAAGTTTAGGAGTGGTTCAGTGCTGCTAAATCCTGATTTCCTATTCTGAATGAATAATGAGAAAGTGAAACATCTTTAGTGTATCTGGAGTGGGGCAGTGTGGTGCCCGGAATCCTCCGAATTTTACAATACCGTGGACTGCACCCTTGCATCAAAATCACAATAATAAATGGTATTGGTTAAGGTACTCAGAGTGTCCCATTAAACCGTACATATTATTTGTTCATGCAGTCATCTTTCTTTTGTCTTTTTAATTTAGATCCAGGAAAGTAAAGGGGCTCTTGGTCTCAGGGCCCTGGCACCTCTGTGGAATGCGATGGTGCTGTGCCAGACATCTTGGACATGGCATCTTCCATACTGCTTTAACATAGAATCGAGGAGATTGGTTGGAGAGTCTGCGGATATTGCAATGAGATTGCTGCTTGAGGAGGGCTGCTGTCCCATGTTGCCTCATGAGTTGGGCCTGATACTTAATTGCAGTGATACTCTTCTGAGGGGAGAATTTTGTATATAAGTGTTATTGTGGGACCTATGGAGGTAAAGAGGGTGGGGTCATGGGGAAGGGGGGAGATAGCTCGGAACCTGTGACGAGACAGAGATGTGTATCACATACAGTGAATAGATGATAAGGTTTTTTTTGTCGTCATTTTTTTTGTGACTGCCTGGTTGGGGAAGCATTTGATACCGGGCCCATCTTCTTAACCATGGAGATACACATGTTGTGGTTAACACTAATTGGAGGTTAGCCAATCAGACACACCCTGTGTGTATATAAGCTAACACCTCACTTGCCTCAGTGCCCTGTTGTGGTCTATGGTTACCATTGAGCGTTGCACTTGTTATTTGGATTTCCTGGTTACTGATATTTGGCATTGTCTCTCGTTATTCCATCTCTCTGTTTCTCTTGATCTTGGCTCGTGTTTTGACTATCCCTTTTTGCATAATCCGACCATTCTAAGGATCGGTATTGCAATTCTCTCTACTCTGTCCTGTCTGCGTGTTAGGGTTCACTAGTGAACGTTACATTAGGGTTGCATGGAAGGAATTCTACCACGGATGTTGTAGCTGTTGACTCATGGTCCGTTTAAGTTGGGCTTGTCACACTGCAGCTTTTGTGGTCACAAGGGTACCTCTGTAATACCGGAGGAAGGAATTGACTAGTTACTAATCCTGTTATAGGAGGTTGTTAATTCTGTTAATTTTCTTCTTTACTCACCTACTTGAACACACACACAGGCTTCCGAGACTCTCTTGCTGTCATGACGGGGATGAGGGGACCCAACCACCAGTTAACCTTTTCTATATCTGATCTCCCACTGCTTTGGACACACTTACTTGTACACAGCACACACTTGTATTGTATTTGTGGGAGGAGTTAGCGTTCCTATATAAACGCTACTCCCCCTTCCTACCTTGCCGTAAATGCACGCTGTTCAGCTCGCCTCCGTGACAGCCGAACTTCCGGTTCTCGTCCGATGCTCTTCCGGTTTTGGCGTCCTCTCTGTACTACCGCTCCTCCATTTGTGCAAATGAACCACCAAACATACGAACGCCAGGTAATCGACAAATAGCCGCGTTTGGGCTATTTGCCGTTCGACAATTCACATTCATGTTGCACATTTTTCTCACCCCTTCTCGTTCACAACGACCATGTTTCGTTGCAGTTTGACATAGTTTTGATACATGTGTAGTCATCATTTCTTGAGAAGTTAAATACTGCGCATCACCTGTAAATGTCAAGCTAAGCATGTGCTGTAATTTGCAGCTAACTCATCAAGCTTTGTAAGACTAGCTGTTATAAGTGTTCACCTGGGGGCGCTTGTACAAATAGTGATGAGTGATGATGTACTGCACCTGTAAAGTGATTCCCCATTAGCAGAACTTGCTCAGGGTGACATCTTTCCATATCACCCTAAAAGCAATTGCACATTTATCGAATTTAATAGAAACATAGAATGTGACGGCAGATAAGAACCATTTGGCCCATCTAGTCTGCCCAATTTTCTAAATACTTTCATTAGTCCCTAGCCTTATCTTATAGTTAGGATAACCTTATGCCTATGAAATGCTTAAACTCCTTAATGAAATTAAGATAGAGATTTATCAAGACGTAAAGGGCTTCTCTTGAGCAACATGCTGAGCGTTTAGTGACGTTCTTCAGCTTCTATGGTGATTCCTCCTCTTGCACACTGTGTCACAGCATATAACCTACTTTCCCCATATTACATTATTGCAGAATCATTGCAATCATCGAAACTGATCTCTGTACTAGCCAGGATTTTGGGGGAGCGATGACAATCTGCCACATTAGTGCAGGGGTGAATGGAAGTACATGACCGACAAGTTACAAGATACTAAACCTGCCTTCATGCTGGCTAAGACTCATAGGGGCTGCAATTCTGCCACAGAATATGGATGAATCTAGCCCCAATCTCTGTGCTGGCGAAGAGAACTTTAAAAAAAAATTCCTTTTAAAACAGGCAGAATTAAGAATATATCAGCTCTGCACAATTTTATATAATTCAATATTCCTAATTTCTGCATGGCTGGGGAAACGTTCTCCCATCTCTTTCTTAAGTGAATACACCCCTATTTATTTAATTTTAATTGAGCCAACAAACTCACTCTTAAGGTGAATTATCTGGTGAGAATGAACTTAGCTGGTCGGCACGCTGCCCCCTGGCATCTGTATACTTAAGCCTGACATCTGTATTCGTATGAGTTAGCTGTTATGTCTCCAGTTCGGTTATTTCAATGTATCGGTCTCCTCAGCACTACTTGTGGTTTCTGCATTGCATCCTACAACACTCAGGATGTCCACAGGGCCTATAGAACATCATATGTTAAATGTATAGAGTGAAATGGTAAATGGGTGATTTATGGCAAGTGGGGATATTTATAGCAATTGGGGATACTTATAGTATATGTAATAAGTAATTATAAACAAGGCATGGGATCAATTAAACCAAACATATGTAAATGGTTACAATGGGTCATGTAAGATTAAATATGGAAATGAGAAAAACTACACATTCGTGTCAATCAAGTAAATTCAAGCAAGCCACTTAAAATGCTAAGTGATAAAATTAAACAAATGAATTTAACCACTGAATGTAATGTACTACTTTATCTGTCAACCGTTAAAACAGATTACAGTGAAGATTTGGTGCAATTTCTGGTATATGAATTAAATGCCACCCGACATTATCAATTCATGTTACTAACGTTAAACAATCGTACACTCGATACACCTGCTATACCTACTTCCTTTCCATTATTCCATCAATATGTTGTATCGTGCATTTACTGTTCCATCCGGTTAGGTTGAGTGAATCTTTAACAACATTGTCCATTCTATTCATGTACTATTCTGGTAATGAATTATGGGTATGTAAGTACACTAAAGGAACTGATAGCTATAGAACTGTTACCTGCTAAGAAGGGGGGAATGTCTATTGTCTTTTTCATTTGAGCCTAAACTGTTTGTTAATTCCCCCCCTCTGGATAAGAGTGCTCCTACTTTAAGTCCAACATTATCACGTCAATACATTAAAACATTGTTGTCAGATGATTCAGATGGATATGTTTCACACTTTGTAATTGAACAATCTCCATTACATTTATTTAAGTTTCGCTAATTTATATGGAGTTTGCCTATTACCGTCTGCTAAACAACATCTGATTAGGTTAGTTAATTTACATGATTGGCGTAATTTAAAACCACTAATTAAGAGGAGGCCGTTATATATTTAGAGGTCACCTAAAGGATATAATTTCCCTTCTAAAACAACACCTTAATTTCAGTTTTCGGACAGCATTCTATCAGTAGACAGTTATTGTCTCCTGTTTCTATCAGGTACAAACACATTTCAATCAACTGCCTCAACAAGGCCACGCATTTACACAATTGGGTATTAGGGTACGGGGGCTTGATTCCCGCCTTGCCTCAACAGGCCACGGCTCTACTCGATAACACGTCATACGTTTATTCAAACTCACTATCTGCAAACAATCATCCTGTTTCTAACAAACCTTGCTCATTTCACCCTCCACCTTCCGACACATACTATCATGCTTTCACAGCCTTCAATAAATCTCCCTGCTGGGATATATAGTAGCTACCAGGGCAATCTTCAGCACCCTCAGGACCTAAGTATACAATACTATCAGCTATGTCTCCAAGAACTACATGGTGCTAAACATAATTTTCTCTCCCTCCTCTCCCTCCACCACAGCTCCTTTCCTCTCCTGTCTCCCTCCTTTCTCTCCCTTCCTTTTTCTCTTTTTTCTGACTTAAGGTGCCTTTCTCAATCACGACTCGATACGCCAAATATGTTGCATTACCCCCTCATCAAGCTCCCGTCTAGGGTCCGAGAACTGGCTATCTAGGGTTAGGAGCTGGCCTTAGTTGTACAACGTAGATGGTCCCGCAAGGCCAACTCCCCAATCTCAACACAGAGATTTTCACCCCTCAGCCCAAATCATAGTTAGAGCCTCACCTGACACGGCCACACGTTTTTGGATCTTTTTGTGAGGAACTGACTCTGCTGGGTTTCGAACCCTGGTTTACATGGTGCTAAACCTTTTCCTTACCAGTACACCAGCCTGCCTTTTGCAAATTTACCTGAGATCTTATACCATTGCTTGTAGAGTCAAGGTTATCAGTGACAACTCTCTTCAGCTGTGTCTGGTCAGGTGTCTGGTTCTTGGCCTATAAAAGCCACTTCCTGTCTCTGTACCTTTGCCAGATTATTGTGGTTCCTGTACTCTCTAATCAAGCGTGTTCCTGTTTCTCCTTCCTGTTGCTGAATTTGGACTGTTTTGACTTTGCTGCTTCTCCTTCCCACTGACCTCGGCTTGCCTCACTACGATTATCATCTTTCTGTTCCAGTCTCCCATCTCTGCTTAAGACCAGAAGGCCACTCAAGGCTCAGGGGCTCAACCACCTGGGTAACGAGTGGCTACCTCTGGCAGAAAACATTGCTGATCTGGCTACTGGACTCCAAAACTTTGTAACATCAATATCATTACAGAATAATCTGGCCCATTCATGGAGACCGTCGGATCAGATTCTGCATTGGCCCAGCAGGTTGCTTTTAATGCAAGAACTATGCAGACCCAGGCACAGACCATTCAAGTGCTGCAGGATCAGGTAGCTGAACTGCAAAATGAAGTTCGATCAATGCATAGTGAGCTTACCAGCTACAGGGCACATGATGTTGCGGCTGCTGCTACTACTACTGTTACACCTGCACAAGATGCCCGCTTGCCTCTACCAGAAAAATTTGGAGGAGACCGCAAAAAATTCAGGGGTTTCCTAAATCAATGCCGTTTGCATTTCATGATGTTACCTAACCGTTTTCCATCTGAAAGAGAGAAGGTGGGATTTATTTTTTCCCTCTTCAAAGATGAAGCCCTGGCCTGGGGCTCCCCTTTTCTGGAACAGGACAGTCCAATCTTGGGAAATTTAAAAGACTTTCTTGAGGCCATGTGCCTAGTTTTTGATGATCCCAATCGCTGTGCTACAGCAGAAGCCACTCTCCTTCATTTACATCAAGGGAGGCGCTCTGTGGCTGAATATGCTGCTGAATTCAGACAGTGGGTTACTGATAATACTAAAACCAATCAGCCCAGAGGTTCCACTTCAGAAGGGGTCTCTCAGAAGCTATAAAAGATGAGCTAGCTCGTGTTGATCTTCCTGTTGAGTTTGATGCATTTGTGCGGTTGGCTATCCGTATTGATCGGAGACTTTCAGAAAGAAGATTGGAAAGACAGGGCTCTTTTAAACCAAGTGCTACTCCTACTTTCTATTCAAGAATTTCTACTCAGACCCCACAAACACCTACAGACTCTGAACCTGAGGCTATGCAGGTAGATCTAATAAGAGGGCCATTATCCAATGAAGAAAAACAGTGGCGACGCACTCACAACTTATGCCTGTATTGTGGTAGTGCAGGGCATTATGCCATCAATTGCCCTAACAAGTCTAAAAGAACAATAGCTATGAATGCTGAGGGTGCACAGATTCAACACCAATCCAATATTTCAGACCAACTGGATTCTGTCACACAACCCTTGTTTTCTCTGGCTCAGGGTGAAGAAGGTATGATGACTCAACATCCTCATTTGGTGGTGCCTATCACTTTGCAATATGGTGATAATAAAATTTCAACTACAGCTATGATAGATTCCGGAGCAGGCGGAAACTTTATGGACATTAAATTTGCAGCAGGAAATAAAATTCAGTCTATCCCTAAATCTTCACCTGTGTTAATGGAAACAGTAGACGGTTCTCCACTTACGTCAGGCCCGGTTACACATGAGACTGTGCCCTTAAAATTGATTCTGGAAGTGAATCACCATGAGTCTATATCTTTCCACCTAATTTCCTCAACACAGTTTCCAGTGATTTTGGGTATACCCTGGCTTGCTCTGCATAACCCACAGATTGATTGGAAGACTAGAACTTTGTCCTTTCCTTCAGAACACTGCTTAATGAATTGTCAACCCTCTAAGGCGACACCTGTTACCACAACAATTAATGAAATGGTTGCTACAAACTTAACTAAGCTTCCTCTACAATATCGGGATTTTGCAGATGTCTGTGATAAGAAGAATGCTGATCAGCTTCCACCTCACAGGCCTTATGATTGCCCCATAGAGCTGCTACCTGGAGCTGCTATCCCATTTGGCCGTATATACTGCCTTTCTGAGCCTGAATTGAAAGCACTTCGTGAATACATACAAGAAAATCTTGCCAAAGGCTTTATTCGACCATACACTTCTCCAGCAGGAGCTCCTATATTCTTTGTAGAAAAGAAAGATGGCAGTCTACGACCATGTGTTGATTACAGGGACATTAATAAAATCACTGTTAAAAACCGTTATCCCTTGCTTCTCATTCCTGAACTTCTGGAGAGACTTCGTTCAGCTAAAATATTTACGAAGCTTGATCTACGGGGGGCATATAATCTGGTTCGCATAAGACCAAATGATGAATGGAAAACAGCTTTCAGAACCAGGTACGGACATTACGAATATCTAGTAATGCCATTTGGGCTTTGTAATGCCCCTGCAACTTTTCAGCATCTAATCAATGATGTACTACGGGATCTCCTGGATCAGTTTGTTGTGGCATATTTGGATGATATCCTGATATTTTCTGATAATCTTGAAAATCACAGAAAACAGGTCTGCATTGTTTTTGAGCGCCTTCGTACCCACCACCTATACATTAAACTGGAAAAATGTGAGTTTGAACAAACAGAAATTCAGTTCCTGGGGTATGTAATAACTCCTAAAGGTTTAAGTATGGACGCAAGTAAAATTAAAGCTGTGCTGGACTGGCCCATCCCCAAGAATGAAAAAGATGTACAGAGATTTGTGGGGTTTGCCAATTTTTACAGGCGTTTCATTAAGAATTTCTCTGCCGTTATTACACCGATCACTGAATTTACACGTAAAGGGACTCCTTTTCAGTGGTCCAATAAGGCTGACACTGCATTTTCCAGATTAAAGACTCTGTTTACATCTGCCCCTATCTTGGTACTTCCTCAGCCAGAATTGCCATTTACTGTAGAGGTAGATGCTTCTGATTCAGCTGTTGGGGCTATACTGTCTCAAAGGACTGGACCTAAGATGTTGTTACATCCATGTGCCTTCTATTCCCGCCAGATGTTACCAGCAGAAAGAAATTATGACATAGGGAATAAAGAACTTTTGGCTATAAAAGCTGCCTTCACCGAATGGAGACATCTCTTGGAGGGAGCCACCCATCCAATTACTGTCCTCACAGATCACAAAAATCTGGAATGTATCCAATCCGCTAAGAGACTGTCAGCCAGACAAGCACGCTGGTCCCTATTTTTCTCAAGGTTTAATTTTTTTATTTCATACCGCCCTGGTTCCAGAAATGGCAAGGCGGATGCCTTGTCTAGGATAGCTGACCCCCTCCATACTACAGTAACCAAGGCCACCATCTTGCCAGAGAGCAGATTTTTAGGAGTTACCTTTCCTTCTGATCTAATGTCTCGCATTAAAAAGGGCTACTCTAAAGATCCAGTTTTTCGTGATCCTCCTCGTGATCTTCATATGACCATGCTTAATGGGTTTTGGATTTTTCAACAACGTCTGTTTGTTCCAGAATCAGTGCGACTGGACGTTTTACGCCTCTACCATGACTCTAAACCAGCAGGTCATCCAGGAATCCGAAAGACACAAGAACTACTTACCCGATCCTTTTGGTGGCCTAAATATTATGAGGATGTTAAGAAATATGTGTCCTCTTGTGATGTATGTGCCAGACATAAGACTCCTCGCTCATCCCCTGTTGGCTTGCTTCAGCCTCTTCCGATTCCTCATCGTCCCTGGGGATCTATATCCATGGACTTTATTGTGGAACTACCTCCCTCTAAGGAACACACTACTATTCTTGTTGTTGTGGACCGGTTAACCAAGATGAGTCATTTCATACCAGCTCGTGGTCTCCCTTCAGCTAAACAGACTGCTGACCTTGTTATTCGGGAAATATTTCGCTTGCATGGAGTGCCTGATGAAGTAATTTCTGACAGGGGAGTGCAGTTTACATCTCATTTTTGGAAATATTTTTGTTCTATTCTAGGTATTAATGTAAATCTGTCTTCAGCTTTTCATCCACAAAGTAATGGACAGACTGAGCGAACCAACCAGACTTTAGAACAATATTTGCGGTGCTATATTAGTTACCTGCAGGATGACTGGCTGGATTTTCTACCCACGGCGGAGTTTGCCTATAACAATGCCCAACACTGCTCCACTTCTCTGAGCCCATTTTTTGCCAATTATGGTTACCATCCAACCTTTCTAGTGAGTCTCCCAATTACTACTCCCATTCCTGCAGTCACTGACCGGCTAACCGCCTTACGAGATTCCCAAGAACTGTTGAAGGAGACTCTTTCGGAGGCTCAGGAATGTTACAAAAGAGCTGCTGATAGGCACAGAAAGGAGGCCCCAGTTTATCATGTTGGTGACAAGGTTTGGCTGTCAACAAAGAATCTTAAGCTTAGGATTCCTTCTCATAAATTGGGTCAAAAGTTCATGGGACCTTTTAAGATAATCGCTCAGATCAATGCAGTCACCTTCCGTCTGCAACTTCCGGATTCCATGAAAATACATCCGGTGTTTCACGTGGCACTGCTTAAACCTTTTCATGAAAATACTTTCCCTGGTCGAGCCTTGCCTGCCCCACCACCAGTCCTCGTGGATGGTGAAGATGAATACGAGGTGGAAAAAATTCTTGACTCCAGGATCTTCCGCAACAAGCTTCAATACTTGGTTCATTGGAAAGGCTATGGTGAGGAGGATAGATCGTGGGAACCAGTGGACAATATTCCTGCTCCTGATCTTCTTCAGTCTTTCCATGCACAGTACCCTGCTAAACCAGGAAATAGGGCATCCAGAGGCTGCGCCTGTAGAGGTGGAGGTAATGTGAGGAACTGACTCTGCTGGGTTTCGAACCCTGGTTTACATGGTGCTAAACCTTTTCCTTACCAGTACACCAGCCTGCCTTTTGCAAATTTACCTGAGATCTTATACCATTGCTTGTAGAGTCAAGGTTATCAGTGACAACTCTCTTCAGCTGTGTCTGGTCAGGTGTCTGGTTCTTGGCCTATAAAAGCCACTTCCTGTCTCTGTACCTTTGCCAGATTATTGTGGTTCCTGTACTCTCTAATCAAGCGTGTTCCTGTTTCTCCTTCCTGTTGCTGAATTTGGACTGTTTTGACTTTGCTGCTTCTCCTTCCCACTGACCTCGGCTTGCCTCACTACGATTATCATCTTTCTGTTCCAGTCTCCCATCTCTGCTTAAGACCAGAAGGCCACTCAAGGCTCAGGGGCTCAACCACCTGGGTAACGAGTGGCTACCTCTGGCAGAAAACATTGCTGATCTGGCTACTGGACTCCAAAACTTTGTAACATCAATATCATTACACTTTTACTGTCACCGAGAGGCCGATACCCTGCCACCACCCTAGTGGCTCGAGCCCCACGACCAGGGCCGCCATCAGGGGGTGACAACCCTAATGGTTGTCATGGGCCGGCAGCCCTGCGGGGCCTGGCCGTCCAGGCCCCACGTGAAGCAGCAAAACTGCCGCAGGTGCATCTGCACCGGGGCCCATCAGGTGGCCCAAGCATTTAGGGCCACCCAATGGGCCCAATAATCTTCCGGCACTGCGGCCAGGTAATTGCGCGACCGGGCCCCTTTAAAAAAAAATTGCAGCTGCACCGCAAATGCTGCTGGGAGGAAGTGACGGCTGGTGATTTACTCCGTGTGGGGGGAGAGCAGTGGGAGAGCGGAGACCAGGAGAGCAGAGGGAGAGCGGAGGGAGAGCAGAGGCCAGGAGAGGACACCAGAGGCATCCACTCCCATCATCCCCAGCCACCCTCCTGCAACTTAAAGTATGTATATATGTCTGTGTGTGTGTCAGTATGTATGTGTGTATGTATGTGTGTGTATGTCAGTATGTATATATGTCTGTGTGTGTGTGTGTGTGTGTGTGTGTGTGTATGTCAGTATGCATATATGTATGTCTGTGTGTCAGTATGTATGTATGTCTGTGTGTATGTCTGTGTGTATGTCAGTAGGTATATATGTCTGTGTGTGTCAGTGTGTATGTCAGTATGTATGTCTGTGTGTATGCCAGTATGTATATATGTCTGTGTGTGTGTATGTCTGTATGCAAGTCTTTGTGTATGTCAGTATGTATGTATGTCTGTGTGTGTGTGTGTTTGTGTGTGTATGTCAGTATGCATGTATGTCAGTATGTATATATGTCTGTGTGTGTGTGTGTGTATGTCAGTATGTATGTCTGTGTGTGTGTCAGTATGTATGTATGTCTGTGTACATGTCAGTATGTGTGTCTGTGTGTATGTTAGTATGTATATATGTCTGTGTGTGTGTGTATGTCAGTATGTAAGTCTGTGTGTATGTCAGTATGTATGTATGTCAGTGGATGTGTCTGCAAGTATGTATGTATGTCTGTGTGTGTGTATGTCAGTATGCATGTATGTCCGTATGTATGTCTGTGTGTGTATGTCAGTATGTACATATGTCTGTGTTTCATTATCTGTGTATGTGTATGTGTCATTATCTGTGTATGTCTGTTTCAGTATTTGTGTATCTTTCTGTGTGTGGGTCTGTGTATTCCTGTGGGCAGGATTTGGAGGCGGGGCTTGGAGGGACCGCATAATCCGCATTTCAACATCCTCATCCGGTCGCCCGGCTATTGGGACACGACAACAAGTTATCACCTATATCGTTATTCACTTTCACTAAGAATTCCTACGACACAGACATGACATTCTTCCCGGACTCAGTGGAATATAAACATCCACAAGCATACCATTCAGACTGTAGTCTATTATGCCACTTTTTGCCACCTTTCATTTAAACTTTCATACAACACTATCACACTATACCAATCAGACATACAACAACACGTTCTGACAAGCCTTTCAAACCATACACCGTCTTCTTAAATGCTTACCAGAAGGATATCAAGGTATAAGTAATTGGTTCATCACTCCACAATAACATACATCTATAGATGGGAATTCCAGGCAGTATCAGACTCCCTAGACAGCATCCGTACCACACAAACCAGATCTTAAACCTCTGTGCCTTTAACTTTCCAAGGGTTCCAGAGCCCTACAACTTCACGATCACAGCTAATCAGACTGGCAAATCATGTCTCCTCAAGGAAGATTTAAGAAGGTACAAACACTACCTCATGTCACACCAACATTCAAACAAGACAATTAAGACACTTGCTCTACTAAATTAATCCCCTAACTACTTCTAAATGCGGTTCTACATTCGTACTCCTTGCATTAGATTAAGTTGGAACCCTGACTCCTATTCAGGACATCAATTCTATATAAGTACTGCATCCAGTAGCAGTACGCCGATACACATAATAAATTAGGTTACTGGAAAACAGCTATTGTTATACAGAGACATTCCATAACGGATAAGAGGTAAGGCAAACAAATCTTATGTGATAATTATATTGCAATAAGTGTGTTTTTTTTGCATTTCCTTTTGTCCTCTTTCACAGGCCTACCCCTACATCAGTTCCGGCACACCACACCGATAATTCCAATCACAAAGTATTTCACGGTAAATATATTAACCGACCACAAGTGCAAGGCCGAAGGGCTGTATTTGTGGGAGGAGTTAGCGTTCCTATATAAACGCTATTCCCCATTCCTACCTTGCCGTAAACGCACGCTGTTCACCCCACCCACCTCACCCTCTTATACAATCGATTCGGGGGGGGGCCCTCTTTCACAGGCCTACCCCTACGTCAGTTCCGGCACACCACACCAACTTAATTCCAATCACAAGGTATTTCACGGTAACGATATTAACCGACCACAAATAAATAAATAATATATATATATCTATATATATATATATATATATATATATATAGATATATAGAGAGAGAGAGAGAGAGAGAGAGAGAGAGAGAAACAGTGAGTTCCGCACTTAGTCACCCTAGGGAATGGACTTGGAAACTGAACAAGACACTACTCAATTATGTAACTATAGTTTGCCAATTAACCTACTTTGAATGATACTCCTAGGATGTCTTCATTAACTTGTGGGAAGCACATAAATAGATTATAAGGGGATTTCTTATTCAGGTAGCTCCGAAACGGACGGCATGGCAAAAATATTGGCTCCAACCACACAAATCTCAGACCTGGAGACTCACGAGAAGCGATCACAGGCAGATGAAATATGTTAGGACCTATTGATAGCTAGGAAGGAGTTGTCGACGTTCCTCACACACAGATATCATAAAATGATAAAGAGAACTAAGGTTTTTTTTTACATGCAAGAAAATAAAAACAGTAGGGCTCTAGCACAAATGCTGCAGGGATAATGGTTGCATACCAAATTCACAGAATTTGTACATCAGTGGGAAAAATTAACCCCTTCCCGAACGCTTTAGCTAAGGAATTCCAAACATATTTCTCAGCTCACTATGGGCTAACGCAATCGTCAAACACTAGTTTAAATCAGGAACAGCTCAGATGTATTATGCAATACCTGTCCAAAATATATCCCATGATCACTGATTATCATCAGAGGAGGCAATGAGGGCACTGAGGAAGAACTCGCTGACCCTTACGGCTTCTCCCTAGGATATTATGAACAATTCAGCTCCATTCTAACTGTTAAAATAACTTAAGCACTGAACTCAGTACCAAAAGGTGCATAGTTTAGGCCTGAGTCCCTGAAAGCACACATTACAATCCTACCCAAGGTCTCATTGTTAAATGTTTATGTAAAGTTATTTTGTAAAATACTTGCCAGACATTTTCAACCCTTGATACCACTATAATACATCCTGATCAACCCTTCTTTGTCACCGGTAGGGAAGCTAGAGACAATTGACAGTTCAGCACTTAGCATTAAGTACAATAGACCACTACTGTTGCTATCAACAGATGCTGAAAAAGCTTTTGATAAGGTGGACTGGGCTGTATGAGAACCACTCTCCTGAAATTAAGAACATCCCTCTACATTTTCCCAAGAGCAAGAGTTAGAGTAAATGGCTCTGTATAAGGAGAAGTGCAGATATACAACGGTACCAGACAGGGATGCCCACATTCCCCACTACTTTTTTCATTAACTCTCAAACTCTTTTTGGAGGCTTTTAGTCAAGTCCTAAATGTAGCAGGGTTTAGGTAGGTGACTCCAAACACAAAGTGGAGGCTTACGTCCTGTTTTTTTATCGAGACCCTACAAATTACTCTCCGAAATCTCATGTCAGCCTCTCATTTAATAACCTCCCACTTTCCAGGAAGGTGCAGGAGTCATTAAGCTTCCAGTTACCTTTTCACTGGAGCAAAGACTAGCTGAAGTATTTAAGAACATGGGTCACTCTGGATACAGGGAACTTGTATTTTCAAAACCACATGCAACTTCTCCAGTCAAACCAAAAGGACATTAAATTATGTGCTTATCTACATATGTTGTTGTTAGGGAGTGTCTCTGTTTTGAAGATAAACATAATACCTAGATTCTTATACTTGTTTCAAACAGTTCCAATCGCCTAGTCGAGAAGCTTCTTTAAAGCTGTGAGATCCCTTCCTTGTGAATACATATGTCTGTCTGAGTGCCAACCGAGAGCCAGAGGTGGACTGGAACTGCCAGATGTCTATAGATATTATATCTCTGTCTTACAGAGAATGATAGAATGGCACGTGACCCCCAGTACAAAGCTCTAGACGACACTGGATGCAGCGAGTGTTGGTGTTCCGCTCCTCTCTTTTTGTGTTTGGAGTGCATCTATGCATCTGCCTAGAGGACTGGCAGCTGACACTCCAGCCTCACATACCCTTAAAGTTTGGTTCTCGGTTCCTAAAACTGCACAAATTTCAACAACTTCAGGCCCAATATTTTCATTAACCTACAATAAAAACCTGGCTGGTGGTTTAACGGCTAAAGACTTGTGATTTCTGGGACAGGGACAACATTTTCCAATTTGTCAGATATTAACAACAGACCCCATTCATACCCTAAATAACTTGGGATGAGGGACTACACCCACTTCCCTAGAAAAATATGGATATATGAAAATCCAACACTTTTGCCCTAGCACTCTAAACAGGTAAGAGGTGCTAAGATGGAAAGATGCATTTCAGGTCCATAACAGTCTTTGTTGATGGCTGTGGAAGAGGAACACATGCAGGAAAAACTCTAGACGCCAATGCGCTAAATCCTAATACTGCAACATAAGAGGTCCGTTCGCTCACAATATCAAGAAATAAATGAAAAACTCCTATCACAGTGTTAAAGCTCTACTATAAGTGGCAGGAATACAAAGCTGTATTCCTGGCACTATAGCTCCCTCTGCCTCACCCCTCCCTCGTTCCCCCCACCAGGTGTATAAAGGGTTAAAAACCCTTTATTTACTTACTTTATGCCAGTACCAATGTCCCTCGATGCTGGTCATGGCTCCACCTCCTCTGACGTACATGCACAGCAAATGACGCATGCTAATTAGGCCTCCCCACAGGAAAGCACTGAATCAATGCTTTGCTAGGAGGAGACAGCTGACGCTGGATGTTCTCATGCAGAGCATGAGGACATCCAGTGCCAGTTATCAGACCTAAAGTCTGTTAGCAGCCAGGGAGCACCTGCAGTAGCTGTCTACCAGTTCTCTGGAACCGCAATGTTTTACATTGCAGCACTAAGTGCAATAGGGACACTGTACAAAGACTACTTCAATTAGCTGATGTGGTCTGGGTGCCTATTGTGTCCCTTTAATGCATCGTGGAACTACTACACAGAATATTCCATTTGGTTCCCTCGAATTGTTGGAAATGTGGTGAGGGGATAGAATCCATAACATATGGTGGGAATGTCCGACTATTCAACTTTTTTATGAAATAGTGAGAACATATCAAGGACATATTTACAAATTCCGCCACTGTTCACATTTCCAAATGATCCGTGTGGCGAAACAGACCTCGCCACTGGGCATTGGAGAAGACTGATTGCCAGCCTCCTGCCATGTGACTATGGCCCCTGGGATGTATTGCCCTTTAAAGACATGATTTGGGCATAATGGATTTGTGTTGTGCTGCTTCTGGCCCTTTAAGAACCATCTGGGGACATACTGTGGAGTTACTGGGTGGCCACCATTTCCTGTATCAGAAGCACATGGTGAGAACAATGGATGGTGGCCATTTTAACTCACAGACACTGTTTGGACTTTTCAACACGGTGCCATCTCGCCAGTATTTGGTGCACAGAGACATCGTGCAGTGGTTTTGGACTATACAACAGGGGACACCTTATACAGTAATTGTTTTTCATTTAGCCTGTATATGTTCTGCAGAATCTGCATTAAACTGTATCTTCCAAAGTACTGAACGGATCTGGGTGAATTTTGGATATGTGGGGTTATTGCATGTTTTGGGGTCCCTGTGATGTGTTTTATGAAACTGTATTTCTCTGTCTGTGATAATTAGATTACCCATTGTGTAAGGTAATTGTATCACAGGCAGAGGGAAGGATTTTGTGTGGGAGTGTCTGAGTGTATTGTACGGGTTATTGGTTGTTCTGTAAAACCCTGTGGGCAGTACTAAGCTTGTGGATTGGGAATAAAAGAGGCTGTATGTGCCAGTCCAGGGAGTTCCTGCTTAACCCTCAAAGTGAAGTGTCGTCTCATTATTGGGGGAGGATATATTGAATGCTGTTCCAGTCTGACTGCTAGGAGTGTAAACCTATTCGCATGGTTTTTCCTATTCGGCTGTATACAACATTCATATGCTTGAGAGCATTCATATGCCTCTCTGGTTCAGTGGTTTTGGTGTCTGCTGCAGTGCTTGGAGTCCTCAGGAAGCGCTAGGAGCATCCTTCAACGGAGGTACCCAGTCGGGGTGCCAGGTGATCCGTTACAATCTGCTCCATGACAACCTTTACCACTTTCCTTGTATAACAAAATCTATTCTGAGACATTTGCTGAATGCGGCAAAGTCGCTGGTACCTGCCTTCTGGGAAAACCAGGAAGTACCTATCAAACAAAATAGGCTAGATCGGCTGGAAGAGATTAAAGCAGTAGACTATATGGTAGCCTATTTATTCTTTTAACAATAATCTACTACATCCTGGTCTCACTTGGCTATCTTTAACTTCTTTACACTGGAAAATTAACGTGTTTTTTTGTACATGTTCTAGGCTAAGGAACAATTAATAAAGTTTGATAAAGCTTACCATGTTTTTTAAAAAGAAACAAAATGTCACAGATTTCAATAACTGCTGAAAATCACTTGTTCCAACATTTCATATCAGTAACATTAGTAGTCACTTAAAAATCACTCCAAAATACAATAAAATTAGTTGTAGAAAATATTGTTTAAATATTGAAAAGAATGCATGATTTAGTATCAAATAATTTAGCTTTAAATTCTGGATAAGGTGTATTATAGTGTAAGTCAGAACACCCATTCTGTGTTTTTAGACCTTGAGCACTCCTAGTGGCCGATTAGGCACAATACAACTTGCAATACCAAGCTAGTTTTAAAAGCAACAGCACAGTCAAGGCCGGGCTAAGCTTATCCTTTGCTCATGCATGTGTAATTAGAATGCAGGATGGTAATGATCCTGAAATCATGTATGTACTAGTAAGTTGTTATGGCTCTACCACTGAAAGCTGTAAGGTTAGTCTTCTTTTTCTTTCTCGGTTATGCCGGTTTCAGAACGTTTAGTGTTAATAAATATATCTCAGAGTTTAATAGAAATAAAATGCAATGTATTGCAAAGCTCCGTAAGAAAGAAAAGCAAAAAGGATTGATGTACGAATAAACTGTTTCAAATTAGATTTCTAAATACCATGTAAATACAATACTTGCACATAATATAAAGACAAAACAGATAATCAGATTTGTGAAATTAGAGCCCGTATGGTGGGTGAACAGAAATGTCTAGAAGCCTGTTTTTCACTACATGTGAAAGTAGGCGTAGGAAGCCTCAATTCTTGAGTACCACGTTCAGTCTTGTTTGGTCATAAGAACCAGTCCCAACCCTCGTAAATGAACAATCCAGGTTTTCTCAGACTCCCTGGAAAAAAACAACTGAGAAATGTCTACATCCTGGATGGACTGTTGGGGGTGCTCGAATTGAAAGTTGTTCGGGCAATCGAAGGGTAAATGTAAAGGCATGTTTTTTTTACTGAAATAGAGGCAACGTTTTGGTCCCAGTAAGAGTCTTTCACAAACCAAGATGTAAAAAAAAAAAAAAAACACAAACATAGTGTGAACGTACTAGCATATATCAACTTCAATGCAGACTTTCAACCATGTCCTAAAGTCGTTATAATTATTTAATTCCCACCTTCTCAGTTTCTTCTGTGGCCTCCACTGCTGGTTCTTCTTCTGCATCAGCCTCTTCTGGTTGGCCAGGCCTTGCAAGGTCTTCCTGTATAAGAATTCAATAAAAGTGATTTAAAAGGATGGCGATACTCAGACCAATAACTGCTTACCTGGTCCGCACAATTCATTATTAAGTAATTAAAATTAAGCACTGGACTTGAGCATTCTGATTCAGGTGAATCGAGATTCGGCTGAGTTTGGGCCAATTGGCTGTTGGGCTGAATTCCATATCGCTGTATAACTGAGAAAATGACTAACGTGATGGCTGAAATGTTCATATGATTTGGCTAGAGGACAGTCACTATTTGCTGATTTTTTAAAAAAATAATTTGAGAAGTGAGCAATAGCCAAAAAACATGAGGAGCAATACATAAATACAGGTATATATATATTACTTTTTTACTGTTCTGACTCTTTTTCCCTCTATTGATTACTTTTATCTCACTTGATCTGTGAACCAAATGATGAGATAATGTGTGCTGTGTACTGTAAACTATATACATAATATTTATACACACTGATTGGCCAATCAGCATGCTGCAAAATATGTACATAATGCAATAATATGTATATGTTTTGTAGTACACCAATACAAGCAATTTGCCGCCATTTGATTCACATATCAACTGAGAAAAATGTTATTAACAGAGGGGGAAAATAAAAACAGGAAAGGTTTTCCGAATTGGTTATATTTCCAGTTCAGTTTCATGGCCTTCATTTTGAATTCCCAACAATTCTCATTTTAGTAAATAACCCGGTTAGTGTTAATTATGTACAAGTTGATTTTTGTCTTTTATGTTGTCCCTATCTTGAAATGTTGCAGTTTTTCTCTGTTAACATTCCTTTCCTAGCTATCCCCATTTAAAACAATTATATCTATGATGGACTTATTTCTCAGCCTTACCATCAGTTACTACATTGAATGGTTACCAAATTGTCCTCGAGACATGCCAAGGGCACAGGATTTATGCATTTCCCAGTTATGTTCCAATGGGGACACAAAAGAAACTTGGACTGTTGGCATGCCTCGAGTGCCAGCTTCGGAACCACTTATTTAATTTATCATTAGATATCTGCACTTGGACCACCTGGCCTTTTTTCTTCACTCTCTCCATTTTACGATCTTTTCCTATCAATTTCTGTATCGGAATTTAGCTCCCTCTAGTAATTGTCACAGTTTAGTAGATATGCCTCCTTTTCTGTTGATAAAGAATTGTTCCAGGTGTCTTTGCCTGGAGGATGGGGGTGAGGGGTGTTTACAGTTTCTCATACAAATACATTTCTATTCTATTTTTTTTATTTGATGTGCGTGATTTTCTAGAAGCAACAAGAACATTTAACTCCACAACATTTGCAATCCTAGCTGTTGGGAAATGTTAGTATACCTCCATATAGTTAAAATAAGCACACACATTCGTAATGGGCCAGAGCCAACTTTCCCAGTTTACACATGTTGGGGCTTATTCGCTGAACTCCAAACCACCCCATTTTGCCTATAGTTTGAAAATTGCTTTGCAATTCACTACACATCTGAGTTTAGTGAAGAACCCTCTCGGGTATTTCCAAAGAGGATCTAAAAATGATCAAATGCAGCATAATTTAAGGATTATGTTAACCCATCATGTACCATATTAAACTGCCTATCCCTCTGGTACAGTTAAAACATGTCCACAAACTTTTATTTAATCTCATAAAACATCACATGCACATTACATCATGTACCATTACCTTTCTTTCACTGAGAAACTACCCACCCTTAAACAGTTTTCAGTACTCTCGTGTTAAAGCCTTTCTTAACCCCACTGAAAAAGGAATGTGAATAAGGCAGCCTTAGAATTGCTGCGTGTAAAGAAAATAGTTGTTAAACAAAACACATTAGTTTGATTGTGATCGGTCCTTTTTTTTAAATTTGGTCTTGCATTTCAACACTTGTATAAATTTTTCCCATTGTGAAGCCTAGTCTCTAAGTGGTTAATGGCAGCTGAGTATTAACCATACTAAGATTGGAATAGGAGTCTCATCATAGCTTTGCAACACTCCTTCCTAGTGGCACAATATGGGTACTGCACCCTTGATCTCATTTAAGCTATAGTTTGCCACAGACACAGTATGCCATGCAGGCACACAACGAAGCAGTACTGCACTGAATATTTCTGATACAGTTCATGAAATAACTTTATTTATATTTAATTTTACTTGGAGATTTTGTCTGTTTTCTGGTCTGTTGTGATGATTTGACTTGAAAAATAAAGACTAAACTAGCAGATTAAAAAAAATCCAACTCTTAACACTGGACAAAAGTATGGAAATCTGTAGCCAAGTGCAAATCTACAAGTAGTAAATATTCCACATGAGTGTTAATTTTTTAATGAAACACCAGGATTTACTAGTTAGGCAGTAACATCAGTAAGATACGTTGTGCTGTGATGACCACCATGAGGTTCTTCCATTTAGATTCTAATTCGTTACAATTCGCTGTAAATTGAATTACTTCATTACTAAAAATTATAAAAAGTTTGGATGATAATTATTGGAGCTGAGGTCCAGCCGTTACCTATCCCTTCTACAACACGCATATAAAGATAATAGATCTCATTTTTACTGTGAATTATTTAGCATTTTTCAAGAATATTTATCCTTATTATTTGTATTATTAATTACGATATTATTGTATAGTTCTTTTTTCAGTGTTTAAGCTCTGCAGACATTGTTTTGTCTTTACTGTTTTGTTGGTGTGTTTTCGTTTTTGGAGAGGTCAAGTTTGAGGTCACACAGGAATCACAGAACGTCTACTCGATATCTGTTTTCCTGATATATCTTTTCTGTTGCAGTTTAAAGTTTTGTGACAAAACAGGATATGTTGCTATTCTGCGCTTCAGACTTTTTTTTTTTTTTTCCTAAAAATAAACCGGAACAACGTCCTCATCACACGTACCTTTTTTACAACACCAGCGGTGGTGACGACATTCTCTGCTCCTTCAACAGTCTTGGTGGCTACTTGATTCACTCCAGTCACCACGGCTCCGCCCACCACACTGGCCTGCTCTTTCGTTTTTTCAGCCACTACAAACGTTCAATAAAAGCAAGGAAGATCATAAATATTTTAAAAGTAGCTTCCTGCACTCACAGCGGCAAATTCCTTTGTAAACTATGTTTTGTCTATTACCCGTTTCCTCTATTAATGTCAAAGATATATTTGAAAACATGATTTAATGTTAAATACCTTAAGGATTATAGGTAGAACTCTCAGCTGTACGCCATTAGTCAATTATATATATATGTATTCATTATGTTTATAGCTATTATATGTCAAGATGACAAGTTCATTTGTCAAAGTGTCAAAAATCAGAGAATATTCTTAAAAATCTACTCAATCCCCAAAACCCGAAGTAAAGTGATAGCTGTGACAGCTTTATTATATATTATATATATTATATGCGATGACGAAGGTGAGAATTGTTTCCAATCTGTATTTTGTTTGTTAGTATATTTTGTGTGTGTTTGTTACGCCATGATATACTTTTTTTTTCCGAAATACTTCCTCTCCCGCAACTGTAATATTTGTATTATTATTATTATCGCCATTTATATAGCGCCAGCAGATTCCATATCGCTTTACAATATGTCATATAGTGAATACTAGCCTAGCAACCTAGTTTTCTACTCCTACCCTTACCCTTTGTGTCACTATGCCCCACTCCCTCTAGCATGTAAGCTCACTGAGCAAGGCCCTCAACCCCTCTGTTCCTGTTGGGTTGCAATTACATGTTTGTTCATCCACCCATTGTACAGAGTTGCAGAATTTGTTGGTGTTTTATAAATAATAATAAAAATAATAATAATAATAATAATAATAATAATAATAATACTTATGCAAATATAATGACATTTTTGATACTGGTAAATAAATGCCACTTATATTCAATTTGTTAAAGTGATTTAATTTCGGATTATGGCCTTGATTTAATATTTTTGGATACGTTTTTTTAAATGATTTTATATATTTGGAAAAACTTGGATAATAGTTTTTTTTCCAAAATTTCAAAACATATCATATGTAAAAATATATATCATTGTATAAAAAAAATATCAAAATATTAAATTATTTTAATAAAGTATTTTAATAATCATTTGAAAAGCTTATCCTACAATATTAAACCGAGTTTTATGTAAGGATATTGTTGTCCCATGTATAAAAGTAATGAAGTCAGTATCAAGGCATATCAAAACAATGATTTTTACTGGTTTCCTAATATTATCTATATATATTGTATGTCAGGATTGTGTTTCTTACCTGTGCTGACACTGTGTACTACCCCCTCCTTGGTTTTGGCACCTAAAGGGGAGATAAAGATGTTGCAATTGTCATTGCACAAGTTGTGAATTTCTTCATCGTTACAACAGAATTTGGATTTAATTGGCATATAATTTAACAAACACGTTCAGAACCACACTTGGTCATTTTTAACATAATAAATGTGTTTCTTTCATCATATGACCATAATCTTACAGCATTGTTGCCACCTGCGGGCATTTTGCCAGCGACAAGACTTTCTACAGTATGTCTAGATCTGCAGAGATCAGTGGTCCTTAATCACTGACACGGGACCTAAAATTCCGTCCACATACTATTTATGTGGGTCCCTAATTGCCAGAAGGCAACGGTTTATACAAACAAATAATTACACACAGGCAAACATTTGGTTATAACAGTGTAGTTGTTATGGTGCCAGGAGTGAACAGTTTGACTTCTTATGTGATGTCTACTGGGCACTGCTCCCGTCTCCACTACTAACACCGCAGAGCCGGAAGCTCCTAAGCAGGAATTTCTGTTAACTCTCCTGATCTAAGCCCTACAGTGCAGGGCTTTGCTCATTGGCTGAGAGTGAAGGTGGGACCCGAGGTAAGAAGTCAAACCATTCAAAAATAGTTTGCCAGCTGATATTTAGATTTATAACCACATCTAATCCCTCTTTACATTGACTTGCTCCATTTCGGCCTACTTCGTATGGACTTGACCTGTCTCCTGCAAGAGCACTCTGAAATGTTGCCCAGACTTGTGGGTAAAATACTGCCATAGCATTTATTCCTCCATGTGACTGCTCTAATTTCTTTTATATATTGTACCTATTTGTTTAACTTTTTTTATCCTCTAAATTCCAGTATACTAAATTCAGTTTGCAGAATAATATCCTAATACATTTTTTCATGCTGTATACATATGCCACAACCAGAAATGACATGTTTTTTTTAAGTTGGTGCCATGAACATGTTAGTGATGACAGGGTTAACTCCTTGACCTTTTACATTGCCCCCACCTCCCCCTCCGTATTCACATTGTTTTTCCTTTGCAAAAGGAAGTTGACATACACAACAATCTACCTCATGTGTTCTGTGATTTTGAAACAGAAAAAAATACGTTATAGACAAGTCAAACTTTACGCACAAATAATGACTTTAAATGGTGGAGTTCTATTTGATTTATGGAGGAATTATTGAGGCATTGAGGAAGATGACTTGCAGTGTTCAACGGGGTTATCACATATTCTCCGTAGCCATTTCTGTAGCTTTAAACTTAAAATAGTCACATTCCCAAAATAATACAATATAACATTCGGCTGCAACAACCCATCTTAGTAGAAAGCAGAAAATATAGGTCTGCCTTTATCACTGAGAGTTGAAACAAATTTAAATAAAATGCAAAGAGCAAAAAAATATAAGTAAAATCCCCTCCCCTTTATGTGATTACATTTAAGATATAAAATGTACATGTATGTATTTTTGTTGTAAAAATGTGAACTTGTCTGTGAACTAAGACCTACTGCTGTAAACTAGACATCTTTTTCCACCTGTCATTCGGAACACAGAATGTTAACCGGTATGCATCCATGAATTATGAAAAACCTGCTTATTATGTTTTACATATTAAGGTGTTTACTGACGTGGATTACGTTCAAGTCACAGCATGTTCAGCTAGATGTCGTCTATATGCTGTACCTGCCCTGTGTTATTTTCCCAGGATAATTAAGTAAGCCTATAGGTGTGAATAGATCATTTTCTAAAGCAAAGCACAGAAACCGCACCCATATTTTATTGTAGGACTCTCTGTCAAACGGCAGTCTTGGCTTGTAACATCTTGCTGGAAAATTACAGAAAGATGGAAGCATACAGGTTTTGACTTTGGAAGAGCTGGAAAAATCAATAGCAAAAAAGTATTTATTTAATCTTCAAAAAGTTTCTCTCTCAAAAATTACTATATATATATATATATATATAGATAGGCAGAAAATGGCCAGCACTCACGGTTTCAGGTAAAAGTTAAAATTCTGAAATTTATTAGAACATCTTTAAAAATGTAGCAGCTCGACGTTTCAGTCCTCCTCCGGGACTTTCATCAGGAATACTAACCACATACATATCAATAAATCGTTTAAATACCGGGCAGATAATTGGAAAAAGTCATTAAAAAGTAAACTTACCCCAGCTGTGCACCCATCACCGACTATCGCTCGCGTCCCCAAACACAGAGTGCGCATGCGCGTGCGTACCCCACCACGTGATCACGTACCGTCCGTTGCCATGGGAGCCGGATACACACACCAGTCCGGTCACCCTGGCAACCTAAAAACGGTAACCATATATTGAAAACTTTATTAGTATGTGCAAGTGAACATGAACACCATATTCAGTGTATTGAGCTGATCAGAGGATCCATATTATAAAGCCATAAATCCATACATCATATATATTATATATATCAACACCTATAAATTTTAAATATAAAGTCAGATCTTTTACTGACAGTGATAAAGGTGATATGTGCAAAACATGCAAGTAAAGAAAGGACAGAGTGATCCAATAATGTGACTTTAATATTTAACATTATATTTAAAATTTATAGGTGTTGATATATATAATATATATGATGTATGGATTTATGGCTTTATAATATGGATCCTCTGATCAGCTCAATACACTGAATATGGTGTTCATGTTCACTTGCACATACTAATAAAGTTTTCAATATATGGTTACCGTTTTTAGGTTGCCAGGGTGACCGGACTGGTGTGTGTATCCGGCTCCCATGGCAACGGACGGTACGTGATCACGTGGTGGGGTACGCACGCGCATGCGCACTCTGTGTTTAGGACGATATTCAGAACGACAGAACGACATCTCACTGCTTTTTGGCATCTACCGGCATCTTTCCGGCATCTACCACAATACTGCTGATTTGCATCTGGAACGCAGACGGAGAACCTGGTGGAACGCACGCGGCTTGAAAACCATACACTTCATATTTGAAGATCGGACAGTCTATCTTTTCTTTCAGCTGCTTACACCATCCTCTGGTTCCATATTCGGTAAAACTTGTGACCAACAGGGAGAATCAGGTGAAATATATGCGGCTGGAAAATCATTCACTTTACATCTGAAGATCGGACAGTCTATTTTTTTCAGCTGCTTACACCATCCTCTGGCTCCAGATTCAGCATAACTTTAAATTAATGTGAGTGTTATATTTTATTTTTCAATTTTTATTTCAAGTTTATCTTATAATAAAACATTTTTTAATACATTAGCACTTGAAATAATTCTCTATATTAGCACTTGGATCCTATTTTATTTTTCTATCTCCTATTATTAGGAGTAAAGTATTATAACTAAAGGCTACTACATATAGCCTGTCAGTTAGTTATACATTCTCCAATACAAGATACAATATTACAATTATAAGGACCATATATATTGTTATATTGTACCATACTAAATAACTAATTCAGTATCTAGATCCCAGTTCATCTATAACTGGAGTGAACTGAATTAGCTTACAAACATAGACTTATACAGACTATTTATCTACTTCATTTATAGCCACTATGATATAGCTTTTTAGCATAAAGACTGTTAACTATTGGACTTGAATTTGAAAATAACTGTTTTTCGTTATTTTTTCCAGTTTTTATTTATTTTTTAATTTACTTACAATTTTACAACACCAATTATTATCTTTAAGGCATTTACTATTCCTGGATAATTTATTAATTATATAATTAATTAATTTTTCTTCTATTTGCATTACAAGGGATTTTTAGTGGAGTCTCTTTATTTCCAGTAGAGTGGTTTAGCCTTGCCATTATTCATTCTCTAACTAGAGTTTTACTTTTAAAGTAATCTCACCCATTAACCCTTTATTTACTGTTCCTGAGTTTGGCTCCCCTAAATCACACACAAATGTCTGTGTAAAAAAGAAATTTGAAAAATTACCACTACACATTTTCTCCAATTTGTTTTGAGAAAACGATTGCATCAAAGGCATCAAAACACTCCATCTACAATACCTTTGGGTGTCAACTTTTCCAAATATATGCACATTCGTGGCAAGAAAATAAATTGGGATATGTAAAAAGGCCCCCAAAAAGAAGATAGGCAAAGAAGATATGTCAAATATGAAAAACACATGCCAGAGGTTTGGCACTGCACCCCCAAAACAACCCATCAAAACTATGCATAGTTGGTATCACTGTACTTAGGAGATGTCGCTGAACACATATCGGGGTGTTCTTTGTCAGTAACACACAACAGGAATGGAGAATCCATGCCTAAAGTACTATGTGAGAGAAAAATAACACAAAAATGACTACCCAAAAGTTTGACAAAGCATGATGGTAGAATTAGTGCATTGAAAGTGTTAAAATACCACCATTTGAAATACCCTATAGTGTCTACTTTTCAAACATATATGGTTTGATGGGGGTAAATTAGATTGGCCGGCTTCAAAAATGTCCCAAATAGGACATGGGTGCATTATGACCAGCTGTTAAAATTCCATGTTGGAAAACTGGAATGCGCACCCTCCAAATAAGATCTTTTAGCCCCCAGAGAACACAGCACACCTGTACATGGGGGTATCACTGTACTCAGGAGATGTTGCTGAACACATATTGGGGTGTTCTTTGGCAGTAACCCTTAAAGTTCCCAGTATATTATTTTTTTTAAATTTGGCATAAATTGGTGGTAAAATGGTTGCATGAAAAGAGTCAAAATACCCCAAGTTTAATACCTTAGGTTGTCTTCTTTTAAAACACACACACACATATATATATATATACACATACACACACACACACACACACACACACACACACACACACAAGTGAAGGGTTATTCGGGGATTCCTGACAGATATCAGTGTTACAATGTAACATACATTAATTTTGGGGGAAAAAATGGTTTGGAAATAGCTACTTGTACTTATTGCCCTATAACGTGCAAAAAAAAAGAAAAAGCTAAGAACATGTTAACATTGGGTATTTCTAAACTCAGGACAACATTTAGAAACTATTTAGCATGTTTTTTTTTTTTTTTTTTTTTGAAGGTTGTAAAAGCGTAACAGATTTAGGGGTCAAAGTTAGAATAAGTGTGTTTTTTTAAAAATTATTTTATCATATTTAATAATTTTTTTATAGTACATTATATGATATGATGAAAATAATGGTATCTTTAGAAAGACCATTTAATGGCAAGAAAAATGGTCTATAATATGTGTGGGTACAGTAAATGAGTTAAAGGAAAATTACAGCTAAACACAAACACCGCAGAAATGTAAACACAGCCCTGGTCCCAAACGGTAAGAAAATTGAAAAACGGTCTGGTCACTAAGGGATTAATGTATTATGCTTGTTGGTTATATAACCTTGATAAGTAATGATGTGCAACACACCTGAAAAACTGTGATTCAGATTCCACAAGTCTTTCTGGGAACCTAAATAAAAATTTTGCCTCCATGCCCTGGCTGGAATAAAACAAATTAATAATAAACTTCAGTATATTGAATCCCTTAACGTATCTATATTGCGGTCCCATTGTTGATATTTTGGTTAGGAAATGATGTCAGTCATTGAGAAAATAGCAGCTAAGTTCAGTGCAATGAGTATGCAGTTTTATCAGGTCTCATGCAATGCTCATTATATCCACAAGGGGAGCCGGTCTTTGGATTGACAGTTGCATACTGTAAGCATTCCTATATTAGTTTGACAGGCTGCTAGAAATTGCACAGAAACAATCAGAAATAGGCGCATAAAACCCTACAAACAATGTGATGACATTATTTTATATTAACTATACAAGGCAGAAAATCGAGGGGCTATCCACATTATATATATTAACATTGGTGTAAGCCTAAAATGATTACAAAGCACATATACAATACATAGCAAAATGAATACACTTCTTACCTTATCCCAACAATGTGATTAAAGAAAAAAAAAAAGCTAACAGGGTTATCTACTAAAGTGAGAATGCAAAATGAATTTCAAATTTATTATAAAAATGTCAGATTTTCAAGGTTAGTTTTTAAGTGAGTTTCAAATTCAAGGCAAAAAAAAGCCAAACCGAGAACATTCTCCATGTCTGTTATGCTTCTAATTTAGCTACTCGGGTCTGAAATTGGAAATTCAGTTTGAATTCTGACGTTAGGAAATAACCCGACAATTGTCTAAACTGCACTCACATAGATTCTGCCGGGTTCCATTTCTCTTTGGTCCCTCTCTCATGAACTATATATTATCTACAGCAGGGGTAGGCAACCTTTTAGCAGTACTGTGCCGATATAGGATTGTGATGTCCCGTAGCGTGCGGTCCTATTTTTTTTTAAATTGAGGTGTGTATGCTGCCGTATTCTGCTTGTGTTATTTTTACTGTAATTGCTTTGTACCGTTGTATTTGTGCGTATATGAGCTATTATATTGTATATGTTTATGAGTAGTTTATGGTATTGTGTAGGATACATATGAATGTAAGCGGTGTATGGGGCTGCTTGTGGAATAGTGTGTGTGGATGGATATGTCACATTGTGTGTTTGGTAGTGTGTGGGGGCTGTTTGGGGTATTGCATGTGAGAGGCTGCATGTGGGGTTGTGTGCGTGTATGTGGATTGTCAGTGGTGTTCAGTTTGTGCGGATTGTGTGTATATTTGTGTATGGGCTGTCTGTATTATTTGTACGAGGGGAGGGTTATTCTGCATTTCTGGGTATATCAAGCAGTGTGGGTGGTTCCCCTGGGTTCCAGTGGGGACCAGGCCAGCCAGGTACAGGTCAAGAACAGGAGCTGCAACAACAACTGCGAGCTGCTCTAATACTGTGTGGATTCCCATTCACAAGTGCTGGAATGAAGTGCTCTGAGATCACTTCCTCTACATGCCGCAATGCATAAATTGAGGATTGTCCTTCACCACCTCTTCGTATTAGCAGATATCTGAAGTTTTACTGGGACTCATGATAGGCCAGAGCATGTTTGGCTCTAGCAGCCTTGAGTGCCGTGCAAATGCACCTCGAGTGCCGTGCATGGCACTAGTGCCGTAGGTTGCCTACCCCTGATCTACAGTATAGAACTACAGACAGAAATCAGTAATGGCTATAATATACAGGCCTCAGTGTTTTCTGGACTAAACATAAATTTGTTTTCATTAATATTTTTGGCATGCAGATACAACGGCATAGGCAGTTAAAGTATAAAATCAAGTAGACATAAGTGCTGCTTATTTTATACATAAATGCAAGATTTTATAGCTCAGCTAACTAACCTGTTCAACCTTACAGAGCTGTATTTGTGAGCATTGTTTGTGTTTGAATGTAAACATGTTTTGTGTGGTTAAATATATTTGTTTGTACTATGGGCATTTCAATGGAGTTGTATGTTTGTATGTACTGTTGCTATTTAAGAGCATTGGTGTTCTTTAGTGTTTGTGTTTGAATGTGTTTGTATGTAGAGCTATGTATAGGCACATACACTGCCCTACACATACACACTGAAACACACACAGATACACACTGACTCATACACACACTGAAACACACAAAAATACACACTCACATAGATACATACACACACACAGATGCACACATACAGATACATACACACACACGCTGACACAGAAAACACAATTTACATCGTTTTAGCCATCCACTGCTTCAATACCTTTTTGATGCTGGAGAGTAGCTTCCTTGGGGTTCTGTGGCATCTGTCTGAGTCTGATGGGAGTCTGGTCCATGCTCTCCCTCCTCTCTATTGTCTTCCCCTCTCGCCCTCTCCTGTGTGACTCGTTGAAAAAGCTAGTAGGATGTGACTTGTACTCACATCATCCCAGCACTACGGCTTCACACTGAGCAGGCGGCCCAGTCAGACTGTCAAAGGACCACAGGGGTTGAGCAGGACCTGATCAAAGATGGCCATCAGGTGGCCCTAAGTACATGGGTCAGCCAAAGGGCCCCCTGAGCTTTCCACCACTGCATCAAATCCCAAAGTGATTGTTGTAATCATATTATAGAAAAAGTAGTTGTGCCAAGCAAACAGGGTTAATCTCTAAAATGAGAAGTCAAAGTGAATTTCAAATTTAAGGCCTGAGTAACCGCAGTGAAAGCATAGCTGAGAAGAGAATATTTCCAGTTCAGTTGTTTTGACTTTAAATTTGAAATTCACCTTGAATTCACCTTGAAGCCTCACTTTAATGAATAACCCTGATAATTTAAAGCTCACAGACCGCAGGGTGGGTACAAGGATAGATGAAAGCCAGAATGTTGCCATATCTCCTGATTAACAACATGGCAGTCCCATAGAACCCACGGAGATAATCAGCCTAGTCCATGTCTACCAAAGAGGTGCAGTCTCACGAATAGAAGGCAATGCACGTCCATCCAGACTGGTTACAACATGATCAGAAATATAAAGTAAAGGAACTCACAGAATGTTTGGCCCTGACCATTGTGCCTTGTTATGCCATAATACATAGAAATGGGAGACAAAATGAATGCCTTTTGGAGTGGATGACATGATATATTGGAAACAGTTCCTTAGAATATTAGCAGGGTTATCCACTAAAGTGAGAATTCAAAGTGGTTTTGAATTTAAGGTCAAAGTAGCTGAACTGGAAGCATAGCTGAATTAGAGAATTGACCTTAAATTTGAAATTCAATTTGAATTCATTCTCACTAGTGAATATCCCTGTAGGCAGTGGCGTACATACCGAGGTCGCAGGGGTCGCGGCTGTGACCGGGCCCGGCCCGCAAGGGGGCCCGGCAGCCCTGCGACCTGGTATGTACCCAGTGTGGCCTGCCTCTTCTCCTGGGGGGCCCAGAAGCCGGCCACCTCAGGACCCCCGAGGCTGGTCCTGGTGTCACCCGGCGGACGGGCTCTCTGCCCAGCTCCCTCACGCACCGCACTGATGCCGGATCCGGAATAGGAAATCATATTCCGGCTCCGGCATCAGTACGCAGCACGCGAGGGAGCTGAATAGGGAGCACTCAGGAGAGAGTGCTCCCCCGCGCGCCCGCCAGCCTGCCCGCCCAGCAACACCACTGGACCCCAGCGAATCCCCTCAGCACTCCCAAAGGTAGGGAGGTTGAGGGTTACATTTGTTTTTAAAGTGTGTGTGTGTGTTAGAGTGTGTGTTAGGGTTAGTTTTTGTGTTAGTGTGTATGTTAGTTTGTGTGTGTAAGTGAGTGTGTTACTGTGTGTATTACTGAGTATGTTAGTTTGTGTGGGTCTGTTAGTGAGTCTGTTTGGTGTCTTTTGGTGAGTGTGTGTTTTGTGAGTGTGTATGTGTGTCTGTCAGTGAGTGTGTGCCTGTCAGTAAATGTGTGTGTCACCTCTCCTGCCCAGCAACTAATTGTTTCAAGCTAGTATCAAAATTGCACAGTATCAGTTATGGAATATTTAGGGTCAAAGCACTCCCAAGGATAGCTCCTGTGTGACTCATCCTCTATTTAAGGTGTTTTATCTGTGCATTGCTCCTAAATGCAGAATTAAAGCACGGTACTTGGAACTACAGATTCATGTGATCAGCCAGCATGGCTTTCAGGCCCTAACCACCTTTTTGAGGGTTTTTAGATGCAGTAATAGTGAATTATCCTATTTAGGCTGAATATAAACCTCATCTATTCAGAAAAAGTCATATTGATTTATTTAAAAGCACTTACGCATACAGAAAAATGTTGCATTAAAGCACTTTAGCATGCTGTGCGTATGAAGAGTTTTTCCTCTTTTTTTCATTTTAGAAAAACTTCAGATTTCAATAGAAATTGGCACTTTTTTTAAATTAACCTTGTTGTCAATCAGACAACCGGTCCTCTTACTTCCTGGTAGATTGCCCAGAGCACCTGCCTTACAGAGACTTCTCACTGAGTTGCAGTGGGAAGTCTGTGATTGGACAGCCACAGAAAGTTGGGCGGGGTTTAAAGGGGAAGGCCTGTAAAGGCAGCAGACAAGAGATCTGCAGCTTTTGCAAACTGGTTTTAGTGATTTAATGATGAAAAAAATCATTAAATGGCTGCTTGTTTTCATTGGGTGTATATCTACTAAACAGTGATTTTTTAAAAAAATTTGGTTTTGGGCAGAAAGAGCACTTTTTTTTGTCAATTTTCCCTTTATTGAGACATTTGATTCACACAGTACAGGAAAAAAAGGAAAATAAGTTATGACATTTGTAAGGTATACCTTTAATAACATCACCTTATTATTTCTGTCTACTACGGACTTCTAAACCAGTGTTTATGGGGGCGCTGTTATCAGACTGCAATTCTTCCATCAACATATCTTCCTTGGCCAGTCTCTGGGGGAGCAGTGAGTAATGGAGGTAGCCATAGGGCATGCTGTTAGACATCACTCACTTAGGGCATCAGGCTTTTAACCGGAGATACCCAGCACCATGGGGCGCTGGATTCCAGTCTTACAATCTCACAGAAGACATCGGAGAGTCGTGCTAATGACAGCCAGGGTTATCCGCTTAACTGAGATTCCGAAGTGAACTTTAAATTCAAGGCCAGAGTAGCCGAAATTAAAATATATCTGACTTAGGGAATTTTTCCAGTTTGATTATTTTGACATTGGATTTGAAATTCACTTTTAATTCATTTTGAAATTAAATTCTCACTTCAGTACATTATCCTGACAATCTATGATTCAGTATCGCTGTCACAAACCTTAATGCCTTATTGAGAACCTTATTGATTAGGGGATGAAATGCAAATGGTGGAAAATAGATGTCACATATGGTGAAATCTATATAAACAGGGTTATTTACAATGCCCTACTTTGTTGGGAGTTCACCAGGGAATTACCAGAAACATAGCTGTCGGCCATTTTATCCTAAATTTCCCGAGTCAGTTGACGCCAATTCACAGTTACATCTATAACCTTGTGCTATGCCGTGTTAAGGGCAAAGATCTAAAAATGAACCAAAATAAATTTGGAATTCACCTTGAGGTCTCATGTTAGTGAATAGCCCTCTTAATTGTAGTGAATTGAAAACCACATTGCGAAATTTAGCCTAAAATGGCTCATTTATGATTTTTTTTTATAAATCTCCAACTAAACTAAGTCACAGCTCAGCTTTAAAGGCCTAACACAGTTTTTTACTAAAGTGAGAATTGTCATTAATTCAAATTACATTGAAAGGAAAGTTCACGTTTTAGACCAAGGTAGCAAAATTGGATGCATAGTTGACTTTAATTTTCCAAATTGACTATTCTGGCCTTAAATTTGAAACTTTGAATTCCCATCAATTTAGTGAATAACTCTGTATATGTGTCAATTAACTAGAATTCAGTGTTTAGGAATCTAAGCAGCAGTCTGGATAGGTAATTATTATCTGTATTATATCTGTGTGAACCAGGGGAGCAGGATTCCTGGAATAAATGAAAGGCTTGGGTTTGGGTTGAACCCTGCCTAATTATGATGATCTATTCGCTCCATTTGGAAGGTGCCCAACGTGAACTAATAAAAACATTTTGTGGACATCCACACCTAAATGTTTAAATCACCATCAATTAACAACTCATCCTATTATCTGCCATTTTGTTTTGCTTTTTCTAAAACTAGGTCACTTTAAATTAGATGTTTAATGATATTGCTGAATGCTAGAGCTGTGCCTTCAGTTTCAAATAAAACTCGGAAATGCCAGATTTGAAAAATCACAAAACAAACAAACAAACAGGACAACGAACGAGCCTTTTCATTTGTTTTGTGATTGAAAACAAACCGTGCACATATACGGTACTAAGGCCCGTTCTCACATTATTAAAGGGATACTCTGGGTTAACAATGACCCATTATTTTCCTTATATAGTATGCAAATAAAAAACATCACAACAGAATACAGTAAAGAAAAAAAATTACTGAATTTGCTGCAAATCATCTGCAATGAGCTCTCACCAACCCAGCTGCCTGCTTGCACACTTTTTGGAAACAGACAGGGTTTATGGGGTTGAAGTTCACTTGCCAGTGTTTTACTGTAGAAATCTAACCACTGAACTACAACTCCCAGAAACCTATGCCATGACAAGTGAGGGCAACACTGATGACTGGCAGTGATGAGCAAAAAGCTTTTTTTTTTGGGACACTACAGCCACTTTTTTTCCAATCATTTTGAATTTCTCCCATTATAATGCAGTTCGGTTTATAATTATTCTAACTGAGAAGAAATGCTCATTTAAAAAAAATAAAAATCGTCCGATCCCCAAAAATTTAAAAAAATCCAAAAAGAAGCAATTTGCAAAAAAATTTTTTAAAAATTTCCCAAGCCTGCTAAGTATTAAACAATAAAAAGGTGTGATCCGCTGTGATTGATTTTAGAGGGCATTTTGGCGTTGTCTGTCTAATACTCCAAGTGGAATATTTTATCTGGAATTTATAAGGAGAAAATGCTACTGCAGCCTGTGTGGCACACCCTGATTTAAACACATTAGCCATTATTTATGGGTGGCCGCACCCAATGACACACAGAAACCTGCCTGTGTTTTCAGCAATGCGGGGAAGTTGTCATTTATCTTAAAAAAGCTGCATCAAAAAATTGGCTGAGAACAGGCTGTCTCTGATAGGCTAGAAACAACACTCCCTATTATACAGAATCTGCCTATTAATGAATATACTGAACGTCCACTAGGAATTGTCCGTGTGAATAAAATGCAAGTCATTTTGCAATGTCTAGTCTTGCAGCACACAGATACTATAGGAAAATTCTGTCATTTTACAGGTAGTCTGATTTTGGAATAATCTCATTGTACAGCGCCGCTGAATATGTTGGTGTCTTGCAAAAAAACAAGTAAAACCTTGGCATCCCATCGTGAAATACACATTCTTCATTAGCTAGACTACTTGAAGATGATAATCCCTGCTTGTTACATACATGTGACATATATGAAATGTACCTGTTTTACATATTTCTATATTATGAACATCACCGAGTTGTAGGGGATACATTACACAACATGAGTGGTCTTGTTTGACTCTTTCCAGAAGTGAATGTGTTACTTTTTTTTTTTTTTCTGACTGTGCTGTGCAATGCTGTAATAATCCACATATAATTAACCTTTCCGATTTTGCCTGGAACTGCCTTTAAGCAGAGGTGGTAACTTAGGGGAGAGGGACTATTTGAGTTATAAGTTAGACTATTATGTAAAATAAATACTTTAGATTTTCCTGTATTTTGTCACAGCAGTACCTGGTTTACAGTCATTATTTTCAAATATACATTTTGAGATCATACAGGATTTAAATCAGGATTTAAAGAATATATAACGTAAGTGAAGCAATGTATATGTCTATATATGTACACATATCCCTGTCTGTATAATTCATTTTAAAATGCCATACAATTCTAGATATATGTGTATAGATTGAACAATTAACTGAGTACAATTACGATTTGTGTATTGACTTTTACATTTTTATACACATTAATTACTTTCAAAATTAACCCTTAGTGAAGACCCCTTTAACATGCATGGTTTTAACATCAGCACCTCGGAGAGCTCATTATAAAACCCATTTATTGCGAGTGTCTTGATTGATCATTCCTATAAATCTTTAAGTATTCCTGTGTTGAGTAGAAATTGTTCTCATTGGGTACAACTGCAGTGATCTACCTGGAGGATAAACTGGGAGACTGAACTCTTTGAAAGGGACATACTCAATCCCACCCAAAAATCGGACACCCATAAAATGTATCTTATTAACTTTCCCACAAGCAGTGCACCGTATTTACAGAGATCACTGCAGCTAATACGTCGGAGTATTTAACCCAACGTAGCACATACCGCTGGCACTCAGGGTTTTCATTCATGTCCAATTTGACTTGATTTCTGAATTGAGATTCGAGATAAACATTGCTGATCTCATACAATTACCCAACTCAGCTCCAATCCCATTCTGGCAACTTTATCCTAAACTCTGCTCTGTAGACTTCAATTTACCACAATTCAGAGTTTAACCAGTTAATCCCAATGAAAGAAGACCCTCTAATTCTTCTTTATTTATGCAAGCCACACCCATAGCCACCCTTTGATAGAAACATTGCCTAATGTTCTTCAGGGCACTATTAACTTTGTAAAGGGCTTAAAACTGCACTCTACCACAATTAATGTGTTGGTTTTTTTTTGTTTGTTCTTTTAACACAATGCTAAGAAAATAACATCCCCTCTCTTTTTCTGTTCTTTAAGGGGTCAGTTCGAGGTATTCACACCCTTTTCAAGTCACCTTAGTCGAGGTGAGCATTTTGTCTCTACGTTCCTTGTAGGAAGTTTAATTCACATGATACATTTTGGGCTAGGCAAGTCTAGGCAGGATCAGACAAGGAAGATGTTTAGTGTAGGAAGGCGAAACCTTGATAGCATGCCCTGCACACAATGCAATATCAATCCACCTAAACACTTCTACTCACCTACATACATCACCCCTTCTTTGGTCTTTTCTGCCGCCTCAGTCACACCCTGCTTGGTTTTCTCGGCAGCAGCCACCACACCTTCCTTAGCTATGGAGAAACCTTTCTTAAAGACATCCATTCTGTCTAGGATGTAGCAAAGGTCGAGGGGGATTCTGCCTTATGTGTATTGCTTCTCACTTGAGCAGATGCAATGGTCCTCCGTAGGGTGGAGACAGTATGACTGCTCTCAGAGTTCTAGCCAGCTTCTTATTAAATTGGTGCACTGCAGTCTGGCCAATGACCACGAGCATCTGGCTTTAAAATATTAATGATATGGATTAAAGTGGTACGGCTAGGTGGGATGGGGGGCTGGAGAAGTAGGAGGTGGTTTAAGGGTGGGATGGTTAAGACGGGAGAGGGGATGAACATGCAAAGAACAATTGGAAATGATCCAACTACATCAAGAGATTTCTCTGCCTGTGCTGCAGTGTGTATACATCCAGTCAAGGACAAGCTGCAGACATAGTGAGATGCTGTACAAGCAGAACCTGTCAGCCTTAAGATCTAATCAGTGAAAATGCTATGCAGTTTGTGCTTTAACTATTTGCGGCAAATGAGGCCTGCAACCTATTGCAGAAAAATAGTTGGAGTCCCCGCAAATGGTTCTAGGTTTCGTTAATGATCAGTGTCAGACACTAGTTTCAATGCATGATAAAAATCTCTACTAATCAACCAATGCGATATTATAAGACATACTAAATTCTTACTAGAAGTCTGCAGATAAGGGTCTGGTGCATATAAGGCCTTCAGACAACACTTGTGCAAGAAGTAATACGAAAGATCAGGTAGAAAGTAAATGGAATTAACAGTGAAATAGCCATATTGAAACAGAAAATGATCTGCTGCCTTAAGAGGTACGTGCATACGTAAACGGAGATGGTCAGCATACCTCAATGTGATTTTTTTTTTATTAGCTTTCCAAAATACTATTGGAATCTGTATCTCACTCTCTTCATCGATGCACTTTTCACTCTTTGATTGCCAAATAAATTACGGTAATTGCAATGCACACCATCGTCTCAGCATTTACGGGGCTCTATACATAGTTTAGGAACATTTATTGGGTTTAGTACAAACATCACTTTGATTTTTATATCAATATTTTTTTTTTAACATAACCTGCTCAGATAAGGTAAAGAAATTATACTTTTCCAAAAGTGTAGTGGATGCATGGAGTAACGCCTACGGAGAAATGTAACAATCATTAATCATGCAAATAATGGACAGGACATGTGAGTCAGCTCCATTTTATCTGCCATCATAATCGATGCCGTCACACGTGCTTTGCTGGCTCAGTCTGTCACATAAATCTGACATAGGATTCTTTATGTAAAAAGCCCCAACAAGATGACAAGGTTGGCTTTTCAGTGCTAAATGTTCATAGAAAAATCAGCCTTTTATCTTTCACTGGAAGTGACGCAATGCCGCAGTATGGATTTTTTTAATTCATAGAGAGACATGGTCACTTTATCTTGGAGAGAATAGTTGAAATATCTGTTGGTATTGGTGTCCCATCACTTGATCCTAAATACCGTACAAGTCTAGTGTTACTGGCGTATCTGAAATTTCTAAAATCAAATAGTATGTCCATTTTTATTTCCCAGTGTATTGCTATACTGTAATATTAGAGATCATTTCACATGAAATCTTCTAACATTGGAATGATGTAATTTAGGACATAGGGCCATTAATTGTGAGAAAGCCGTAGAAGCCCGTATTCTATTACTGACATACGTAATACTAGTCAGCTGAGCCTGCATATATTCAGAACACTGCAAAACATCTCAAACGTGCGAGGACGTACTAAGTGTTGTAACCCCAAAGCCTTGAGTCATTTTGGGACTCAGATCTCAAATTGCAGATGGGCTCCAGATCAGACACTATTGCTAGAAGTGTAAAACATATAATGTATAATACATAAAAGATATACATTCTAAGCTTAACTTTGGAGTAACATTAAATTGTGTCATTCCCACTAATAATAAAAAAGGGCTACGTGTATTTATTCACAAAAAGTGTTCAATGTTGGCAATATAATGTGAGTATTTGTTTATGTAATATGGCATATTACCTTGTGTTTGCTCTAGATCAGGGTTGGCAACCTTCTAGATATTGTGGACTACATCTCCACTGATACCTTGCCAGCACAATAGCTGTAAGAGCATTATGGGAGATGTAGTCTACAACATCTGGAATGCCAAAGGTTGCCTATCCTTGCTCTAGATCAGTGGTCCCCAACCCAGTCCTCATGGACCAGCAACAGTCCAGGTTTTGTCAGCATCTACATTGAATGAAAAAGGGAAATACATCAATCCTGGACCATTGGTGGTCCACGAGGACTGGGTTGGGGACCACTGCTCTAGATCATCAACATCAACTCAGAGTGTGCATGCGCTGCCAAGTTGCCATTACGATTGTTTGAACAAGGAACAGTGCCTCATGTTGGTGCAACAAGCTCTGGCACCTTATTATTATTATTATTATTATTGCGATTTATATAGTGCCAACAGATTCCTTAGCGCTTTACAATATTATTAGAGGGGGGATTTGACTATAAATAGGACAATTACAAGAAAACTTACAGAAACGAAGGGTTGAAGAGGGCCTACTTATATACCTAACTAACAACTAAAAGGAAATCCGTCCACATGTCTCAAGCTGATGTTACTGTAGATACATGTCCAAATATATATGTCTAGATCTAAACTTGCGTGCAACCGCAATAGAAACACATTAGCTTCTGAGTTGTTTTCCCAGCACTAAGAGTCACTGTTAAGAGGATTTGCTATTAAACACATGGTAACATTACCCCAAACTGGATAAAAATGCATTTATCTGATTTCCTTCAAAATGAGAGATTTTGGTGGACGTTGATGCAATAAATACTTTCTGGAAGAAAGCAGAATCTCCCCCTGGGTCCTTTGTTCACTCACTCCAAATAATATAGGCACTAAAAGCATTCTGAGATACATTAACCAATCCAAGCAGGCTTGGGTTAAACCCACGTTCCACTTACATCACCCTATGTCCTTGTCTAAGTGCATCCAATCATTAACCCCTTCTTGGCAAAGGAGCCGAGCTTCTTCAGTGATTATATTGCTCGTCTGGCAAAGAAATGAAATTTAATAACCATAATATTGCATCTATTATTTAGAATCATTAGCTAAATCCGTACAAATGCTGCACAAGCAGAATTGATGTAAATGTGCCTGATCATTGTTTCAGAGTCGATTCTGCAGGTCATTTGAAGAGGAGAAGGAATGTCGTATATTCATTAAAGTATCATACTGCGGCTATCTATGACATATCTCACAATGACATAATGCGATGATCTGCCTTTTCCTTGTTATGCTTTTTTTGGATGAATTCTAAATTGTACAATAGGTGAATCCTGAACTGTGGCCAGAATACGGGTGTACGCTTTTCCCCCCAATCACCAGTGACTTCCTTATTTGTGACCTCCTGCTGTAATTGAGATACTCTTCATGTGATATAATTATCTCTTCCATGATAGATGGCATGCAAGGGCTCTACTGATATAAAGGGGTTGCAATATACATTTATTAGTCATGACAGTCTTGTAGTCAGCATATCTATTTAAACAGATTAACTTAGCTGGTATTTCATGATGGTTTCATATTAACTCATTATTTAAACAAGCAAGGCCTCATATCATAAAGTGTAAAGCATGACGCAGTATTCTTGCACATGCCGTATTGTCAATGCTGTATTCTCAAGCAGTGCGAGAGTACAGCATAGACGTCGGCTGAAGAGAATCCGTCGGAGGAAGTTGGTGATGCCCATGAGGGACAGGTTCAGGTAAGTAAATCTTACCTATACCTGTTCCCTGACCACCAAACCCCAAGCGGTGAATTCGGCAAAGTCCCCAGATGGTGACAGGCCGCTTTAAAAAGACATTATACAATAATTAGCTGTCTCAGATTCAATGAGAACCTACAAGGACCAGTCAATATTAGATCCATGTTTGATTGAAGAGCTACAGTGTAATTCAATTTACATTTCTTTTAAATTGCAGGCTATATTTTAACATCAGGTTCCAGAATTGAACCAGTTGGAAAACATTCTGACAAATCCAATTGACATCATTTAACAGGGAAGCCTGCCTTGATTATATTTCCCCATTAAGCAAAGGTTATTTTTGCATAAATGTACTTAACAAATAACAAAGGTGCCTTTGCAGATGAATGGTTCAGGCATGGGAACAATATTGACAGAAAGGTATGCTATAGGAACAAAATCTATCCACCGCGTATACATCAGCTCGACCTTTGATATTTATTAGGTCAACCATGGTGGTATGGTTATGGAATTTATTGAGCTCTTAAAAATTACAGTGCTTGTTTAATTTCTCTTATTGGGTCCCCTTTTAAAATCCAAACTCCAATGACCTAGCACACAAATACATTGCCTAATATCATAGTGTCTTGGCCATGTAGAAGACATGGATTAACCTAAAATGTGACTCATTAAGGACCAATTGTATTTCATGATATTCTCACTCTTACGTCCCAAGTGTCCCAATTTAGGAGGGACAGACCCTGTTTTGGGCCCAAATTCCTCTGTCACTCTTTTCCATCCTAATGCCCCTATTATCTAGGAGCTCCATATTGTTGGTGTGTCTGAGTGTATGACAGAGCTTCACAGCAATATTACTCCCAGCAATTTGTCTTTAAACTACCATAAATGTCTTTAGAAATCAGTCTGCGTAAATAAGATACATTGTTCTGGTTCTATCTTTAGTAAGATGCAGTGATTATGGTACCTGGACTGTCCCTTTAAAAGCTGACTTGTTATGATACAGTTTTTCCATATTTGTTCCAGGGACTTATCATCTAATATTTATGGAATCCAGAAGGGCTCACGTTAATTTATAATATGAATTCTTAGAATTGGCATGCCCTGTAACTCACTAACTTGTTTCAGTTAAAGCTGGGGTAGCGTAGCATGTTTTAATGTTTCTCCCACATTCCGCAACACTACAGGCCAAATTTATCAACCCATAATTAAAGCAAAATCAAAGTAAAAGGTGCTGATCTGTGGCAAAGTGTTACAAATTCAATTTAAAAATCTGGCGTATTTCTCATCAATTAGTACTTTCCTCCAAATTAGCATTTTTTTCCATGATATAAGTGGCCCTATATATTCTCAAAAATGTATATTATGGATTTTTCTCAAACCTCTGTTTTTTTATGGAATACCAGTTTGCCTGGCAGACCTGTCAGCTAAGGATGCAGTAGACATGTATCATCTGTTATGCAAATATCACAATAGTCCCTGCGAAATGATTTAATTTATATCAAAAGACACGCAAGCAGAGATGGAACGTATAACACATGCAGCTGTAACCGAAAAGAACTGGCTTCAGCTAAGAGCATCAATTAGCA